GAGTCGTGGTTTTACCTGAACAGGAAGCGGCTGAAAGACTGTCATGTGAAAAGAAACTAAAGACAAATTTAGAACAAAGTACAATATTCACCTCTGAGATGTAATAAAGTAGCATGAAATGGAACTACTCAAGTCACACAACGTTTCGTATGATGTCTTACGAAAAACTTACTTCATTTTTGTGCGTTTTCCCATGAAAGTCAGCAACACGTGTCAAATTCTGCTTGTTACATGCGTACAATCTTTTCAAAATAAACTTCTGTCTTCACAGGAAACAACTAAGTTAGGTTTAGAAAAAGATGGTGAAATACTTAAGTTTGATAAATTCTTGTCTTTCCAGTTGTCCTGCAAAAGTAATGACATTCCCATCGGCCTCAGCTGTACTTTGTGTTTAGTGCTAATTAGCAATCGCTATCCATCGCTATACACTGCTAACCGTGGAAGCCGAGGTGTGTCAAGACAGAACATGAAGCTTATTTCATGCCTCACGTTACGTTTGTGAATTTGACAACCGAACTCTTTGTGCACCATCTGAACAGATGTGATCTGTAGCCAGGAGTCCCACGTCAGAGTTAAAGCAGCTCAAAGTCTGAGGGAGCAGGTGTGACGTACAAAGAGTCTGAATAGAGCAGCATTCACTCTTTTTCCTTCTCCTCGATGAAACGCCCCACTGAAGTTATCTGGTTTCGGCCCAATTGTTTGTCTCTGTTTGCTCTCACGCCACCTCATTATCTCAAGATCTGCTTTGTCATCCTGGAAACAATCAGGGTGAAGTCGTCAGTGGGCGGACGAGTGCTTTCAGCAGCATCACAGAGGTCGTTTCTCCATCGCTGAGCCCATTGAGCTGCTGAATGTGGGATAAAGAGGATAAAGAGGATAAAGAGGAGAGTCTAAACACGTCTTTTCAGTCTTTTCTCTACCGATGCCCTCGAACAAAAGCTTAAAATCCCCCACCTTCAAAAAACAAACAAAAACGAATGTCTCGTCTCTGGAGAGCTTTAGAGGTGCAGACACATTCATTGTGTTCATGCGTTCTACAGCTACCTTTTTGACTACATTGCATTCTATCAATTGATTTTTTTTGCGCTCTTTTTCTTCTCAGCTTTCAAAGTGCAGACTTTCTGTTTCCATTGAAGTCATTTTGTATCTTTGCGTTGTGTGGTCGGTAAGAACAGCTGTTGATGATAGTAGTCAAACTGAAAGTCTAGATGGATCCTCCATCACAGTGAGGGAACACTCCCAGCATTCTGCATCAGCTATTACTGGTGCTTTGACGTAAAAGCAGTAATTGGAAGCAAAGGCTTTTACGTGAACATTCCCTTTCTGTATTATTTAAGAGATGAACACCACAACATTACATTGATGCTAATGGAGAAAAATATATAAACAGACGTGATCGATCTGGTCTAAGTGTCTCCATGTCTGTGTGCGTGTTTCCAGAAGCTGTTTTGAGATTTCCTGTTCCTCTCGATGTAACATTTACGGTTTCTGGGCGTAACCGTAAAGTTCACAACTTGTTTTTAAGGCGAGACACCACAAAGGCAAATACTTTGTTATTTTCATTTACTGGTTAATATTCTGCTTCTGTAACACGTCTTCTTTCATATAGTGGAAAGAAAACATCCAAAATACACATTTAGGTGTTTTTATTTTCACCTGTAGAGTCTTCTTAATGTGAGTGATGAAGTGGTGAAGTCTCATGGTGATATCTATGAGTTCATGTGTTCACCTGTAGAGTCTCTAAATGTCTGTAATGGAACTAAACGTCTCTTTAAAGGACGTTTCCTCTAAATGAGTTTGTTCTCAGACTCTGATGATAAATCTCCACTTCAGCAGCTCTTACATTCACCAAACTTCACTCGTTCATTCCTCTCTGTGTGCTGAAGGTTCACACAGAGGGGTTAGTTCACTCATGATAAGATGATGATAATGCTTCACACTGCAGTGTCAATGCCCAGCTCTTATACTGGACACATGGGTATCCATAACAAAACAAATGATCAAAACGAGGCAAATAAATAGTTGTGAGGAATCTGTAAGGTCAGTAGTGGATGGAGTGGATCAGGTAAAATGTGCTGCGTGGGTGTTGTGCTGTAATAACAAAAGAAAAGAAGCAAAAAGACACAACGCACAGCGATGTGTGGGGAGGAGATCTGCCACCAAAGCACTGCTGCCTCTCTTCTGTGCACACGGGGTCCAGGTGTGTCCAGGTGTGTCCCATATACCGCTGATTACTCTCCAATCAGGTCTGCAGCCCCGGAGAGAGACGTGGGAGTTTGTGCTGCACACAACAGCTTTATTTTTAACATCATAAACAAATGTCATGTCTTCCTGCCAGTGCGAATGTGTTGAACGACATACTCTCTGCCGGGAGGTTTACTTTAAAGTCTACGACTTATTGCAGTTCCTTCGTATTTTACCTTCATGTGAGACTTTGTTTGAGGCTCCTGATGTGAGGAGCTTTACTGAGAGAGCTGATACACAAATACATTCACCACACGGATAAAGTGTTTCTCAGAACTGGAAATTCCTCCTTTTGTTTATCACCAAATCAATATTTACTCTATAGAGCATTTCAGCATGGCTGCTGCAGATGGTCAGAATTAAAAGAGGCGTATTGAATTATGAAGGCAATTTTCATGTCAAGACCAATCATGCAGCGTAATAACAATATACCAAAAACACCACATGTGCAACATGTTTCCAGCTTCATTGTTTTTTTGTCATAAAAGATCCAAATGGAATATTTTACAGCAGATATAGACGAAAGTGTTATTTCCCTAAGAACTGTTCTGATATCAGGACCATCACACGTTGACATTTGGCCTGAGCTTGCTGTCACTCCATGTTGATCTTGTGACTGCTTATTGACTGAAGGCCACGGCCTTTTGTTCTAACCACTGTGTGAACTGAACAACCTGTTATGAACCCTCGCCTTGTCATTTGACTTGATACGTCATCACTCATTCATCGTTTGAGCTTGAGGTGGTGCAGAACAGTTACAATCATTTATTACGTCTGTTTCCATCTCAGTGGTGCATAGAAAAAAACCTAAACATGACAAAGTTTATTTATTGCAAGTACTCGCCGAGCGCCGGGTAAGAAGGCCGGCTTGCCAAGATTTACTGATGTGTCACGATCGTGTTGCTTCTTGCCTTTGCTGGAACGTGATGTCTCGTTGGCTCTTGTCTTCCTCAGCTGTCGCCGCCGTGCATCATGCAGAACATTGCGTGATTTGACTGCATTGAAACAAGGTGGATTTGGTTATTGACGATAACTTCAATCGCGAACACATCAAGAAGAAAACCAACACAAAAAATGTGTTCCACGTGGAAAGAAATGGTATTTTTGTTTTGGTGGGATGAGAGGATAGACAGGCCTGCTACTCTTACGTCTGTCTGTAAAATATGAAGCTAAAGCCAGTTGGCCTAGCTTAGCATAAAGATCGGGCTCGCCTGCCTCTTTCCAAAGGTCCCATCTTCGGATGTTTTACCTGGGAAATTCAATAACTTGTGAATCAGCAGGCGAAAGTATTGTTCACTCCAAAACAGAAGAGCAGCTGTTAGTTCCAGCCTGAGGGCAGAGTGGTTCAGAAGTAGAGGACTGTGCATCTGGAGAATAAATGTTGAAACACAGTGGGAACTTGTGGCACATGAAGACACCTCACTATCCTTTTTTCCGAGGAATGATGAACGTTGGTGCCCCTGGAAGAGAGCGCTTCTACTACGTTTGCACATATCGGCTGTCGCACCGTACCTACCTCCTTATGTTACTGGTGTCTGCTCGTACTATGTGGGCCCAACGACACGACTGAACTTGACATAGTCGCAGTGTTTTGCACTGAAGGGAGCTGTCAGTTCAGTCAGAATCTGTTGGTGGTTCAACTATGAAGTTGTGGTAATATGTGAACCTTTTTTTCCGACTGTGACGGCCAAATTTGCCCAGAGAGACCACCGGGACAAGGTTTTAAATCATGTGACTTCCTACCCCCCCCGCCCCATTCCCGGTGCTTTGCTCGAACCACACTCATCTTTTAACTCAGCCTTCGTTTTGATCTCCACTATACACCAGTAGAGTTTCATATCTGCATTTTGCACGGTTGAGAAGCTATAGCGGTGAACAGAATATGTCCACATTTTCTAGATTAAAAGTTTGATATAATAATGAATCATTACTGCATTGTTTACATTCATTCTATTCCTCATGTTTACATTCATTGCTACATGAAAGCTGCAAACAATTATGGAAACGTGAACTTTAAATAAGAATGGTTGATCGCTGAATCCACAGTGAATAACCACTTCCCTCTGTGTCTCTGCAGAGTGGAGAGGGTGAGTCGCAGTGGGTCGAAGACCTGCTCAAGCTTCACACAGCCCGAGTCCGAGACGTGGAGATCCTGACGGGCCTGGACCTCTACCGGTCTACCAACCTAACCTTTAACAGCATGCTGAACCTCAAAACCTACCTGCACACCTTCGAGAGTGACGACTAGAAACACAGAGAGACAGACACACACATACAGGATGTAGGCCTTTTGTAGAAGTCCTGCATTCTCACTGCATACTCGCTGGACAGCCTGAGGAACTGACCGAGAAGTGCTCGGAAAAGGGATCACAATTTTTAACAAACGGAACGGTTTGGCAGGAAGTAGTTTGGAAGATTACAAATATTCAATACTGTCACAAGAAATCTGAGGGTGAGAAAGCTAGCAGAAGAATGATGCAGGATGGGAGACTTTCTCGACAGCTGCCATTACACATTTCATAAATACAGTTTATGAAGTACATCATCATGCACAGACGAAGGAGCATTTATATTCCTACTGCCCATCCATTACATGCTAAAGAATTTAAACATTTTTGAACGTGTCTTTTCTTCGTCATAAAATACTCTTGAAACTTGCATTGTATCAGCTAATCACTTATTTTCTTTGTCAATGTTATAATATCATTGTGAGGACTTCTCACAGCAAACTGCACTCAGACTACAGTAACGTCGTTTACACTTCCACGCTGAGTGGAAATGAGAAGACGCACGACGGAAACGTCTGAAAAACACATTCAAAAAACTAAAACATGCAACATTGCTGCATAGTTCTGCAAATGTATAGCTTGACACTTTGGGACATACATTCTCATTCATGATGTGATTTAGATGAGTTGATTGCTACCACTGTCATGTTAGCAGCAGCTTAGCGTAGCTTAGCATAAAGACTGAAAACGGGTGGGACTGGCTCTGTCCAAAGGTAATAAAATGTTCCTACCAGCACCTCTAAAGATGATTATGATTATGTTACATCTTGTTCATCCAAATTGTCAAACCTTTCCTTTCAAACAACATGCAAAATACATATAAACATGCAGCATATACTCATATCAACACACAGGGCTCAACACGTGTACACCAGTGTCTGACCGAGCCTTTGATATGCTTCAACTCCTTTATGATTATTAATATCATGATTAAATGGTTAACATACAAACGTATAACACAAATAAACTATTGCCCCAGCCCTATGTCCTACAAAGTTGTGTTCCCATAAAACTAACTTGCATTCTCAATTACATATCAAGTCTTTTAAACGGTCGCAGTGTGGTTAACGAACGTGTAGTAAATAAACATGGTTTGGCTTAAAACTACAAAATTTGAACAAAACAAAACAGAAACTCAACAAAGTACTTGGTTATGTTCGGGCAACAAAAGAACTTGTTCACAAGGGACACAAACAGCTTCTGGGTGAAAGCCCTGTGATTGTATGACCCACCACCACACCGACCTCCTCGCCATGTGGACGTCCAAGAACTCATTAGGAGACTTATTTGTGATTCATGAGAAGCAAACGTGACCCACAACAAAACACGTTTCCCTCGAGAGGTAATCAACAATGCAGTTTTGTTGTATGGAGTCATGTTTAAGAGACATGGCTGTATTGCCCTTTGGAACTTATGAAAGTCAGACTGAGAGGAAAATACTGACCACTACCAACCACTGCATCATGAACACATACATTCATATGGTCAAATAACAAATGCTCTCAAGAATGGGGGGCTGGGACAGCTCCTTCCTGTGGTTATGGCCGGCTGACACCGTCCAGTGGTGCCGAAGACAAACGTAAATGTCTGGACACATGTGGCATCTAACCCTAGTGTACACATGAACACATCCTCACATATAAAACACACACATACACACACACCAACTGCAACAATTTCCTCAGCTGATAATCGAGGTGTATATTTTTATACAATTTGTCATATTTATTACGTAGCATCATAATAATAATAGCACCTCGTGTTACAGTATTAATCCAGTGGAACAGATCTCAGATCAGGTGACAAAGCTGATGCTACCTTAAAGGAAAAACCATCTTTCTCTTCACCTGGAGCTCTTTACATTGGTTTGTCACCTCATCTCCTTATTCGACCTCCTGCATTCACGTGTTTAACTTCATACAAAAGCAGCCAGAAGCTGTATTCTTTCATGTTTGGTATTAACTGTAGTAACGTTTCACTGATGAGTTAACATAGCTATCAAGGTTATCAATAGAACACAGAAGATAATCAATAGAATGAGTCGAGAGCTTGCCGAACGGTAGACACAGACATGTTCATTCCTGTGGTCTTTCAAATAAAAGAGAACTGGAAACAACCTGACTGGAACTGACAATTACTGCTTCTGCAACCAAACTACAGCTGCAGAGACGTTTAATTGGCTGCTGATTTACTGAAGTTCTTTCTTTCATCAACATCTGGAAAGCTTCTGTGGGTGCTCAAACTGAACTCGGTTGAAAACAACAGAGTATTGTGAAGGAGCGGCGTTGCCTCATCAGCACTTTAAGGCGTTGATGTCTCCACCTCGACACACTTGACTCCTTCCAATGATTGCTTCTTGTGGTTTCTGCTTGACTGAATGTCATGCCATTGTGAAATCATAGGTAACTTTAGGTCACATCGAAGAGCCTGAGATGGGTTTAGTAGCTTCCAAGGAGATGCTTGATAAGAGTCTTATTGGAGCCTCATTGATATTACATATTTACCAATAAAGAATGTGCTTCGCAGCCAACTCCACCGCCAATCATAACCTCACAGGGAAACGACACTTAAAGGAAAAACTGCGTTTCTTAAAAAGATGTTGTGAGTTATTCCCCAAAGACCGGAATAGTGTTTTCAACCTTCCCAAATGAATCTAAGGAACGCCAGGAAAATAGGCCCCATTTAATACATGTGGGAAATATTTTGGAGTAATTGTTATTTGGGGCGCCCCTATGGTTGGACAACAACCGGATGACCTCATGTTTTAAACAGCTGACATTGTTTTCAATGGCGAAACTCTACAATCAAAAACATGGTTCTTCTTTCAGACTCGTAAAAAGAAAAGATCCGAAACACATGGAGGTGTTCTTTTATTACTTTGCCTATTTGCGTCTGTAGATGTCTCCTAAATTCACCAAGAGGTACTATTAGATAATGCCTCATTTGCATATTTAAACACAACATTTCAGTTCATGAAGGTAATTGTAACATTTTTTGTTGCATAAAAAAGTCTTGTTCAGAGCTGTACTTCTCTCTCACCCTCTCGTGTCACCTCTGGTTGCAAAAAACATAAGATGGCGACGGCCAAAATGCTTAAACTCAAGGCTTCAAAAAGTCCACAAACCAACGGTGATGTCCCTGTGACTACGTCCACTTCTTACATACAGTTTATTACTCCACTTTATTGCAGTCCGGGCCATAGGTTTATGAAGAAGTTTGTCATGAGCTCAAGGCTTCTGATGAATCAATGATTCATCAGAGGTAAATGGTACCATCTGTTACCATCATTTACCATGATAAATGGTACCATCCGATCCTCTCTGATACAGCGAGTGCACAGTTACTGGCAGTCAACGTTTCCCATCATCTCAGCATCATTAATAGTCCATTATCAGCTACAGTTAATCTTTACACCTGTGTAATAAACCAATCAATGTTTCCACATCATCAGCTCTTGTTGATATTCACAGCATTTTGACTGTCTCTCATTGGCAGCTTGAATCTCTCTCTGGTGGCTGTTTGTTGAGTATGTTCCAGGTCAACACTTGCTACCTTCTCATCTCGCCTGCACCAGCTGAGTTTCTGGAGTTAAAAAGTCAAGAAAGCATCGTCATCTGTTGTTTGACGGACCTGAAAACACAGAAACGTTCATCTCGGCGTTCCCATCAATCAGTTACTTATCTGTTGTTCACAGCTATAGTCCAGAGGTCACTGCCGGGATACTAAGTGGAGGCATGTGTTCCCCTCTGCCTGTCTGTCTGTGAGCGTGTGTGACTGCCACCACCTTCATGGGAGCGATGGATTTTGTGAAGGAGTTGCAGAAAAAGAAGATTATTGTGAGTATCGGCTTTGGTTCTGAATTGATGGTTTAAATATAACAACATAGCATGAGGAATATATAGCATTATGTAGCTCTTACAGTAATATGCAGGTAGTGCAGGGCAGTGACTAGAATACATAACTGGCTGTGGTTGTCTTTAATTTGTCATTTGGGAAATGATAAGCTATTTACAGTAGGAGTGGGCAATACGGATAAAATACTCTGTCATCCATCCATCCATCCATCCATTTCCCACCGCTTATCCGGGGTCGGGTCGAGGTGGCAGCAGGTCAAGCAGGCCGACCCAGACCTCCCTCTCACCGCCAACATGTTCCAGCTCATTCTGGGGGATCCCGAGGCGTTCCCAGGCCAGCTGGGAGATGTAATCTCTCCAGCGTGTTCTGGGTCTTCCCCGGGGTCTCTTCCCAGTTGGACGTGCCTGGAAAACCTCCAGTGGGAGGCGTCCAGGAGGCATCCTAATTAGATGCCCAAACCACCTCAGCTGACTCCTTTCGACGCGAAGGAGTAGCGGCTCTACTCCAAGCTCCCTCCTGATGACCGAGCTTCTTACCCTATCTCTAAGGCTGAGCCCGGCCACCCTACGGAGGAAACTCATTTCGGCCGCTTGTAGCCGCGACCTTGTCCTTTCGGTCACAACCCAGAGTTCGTGACCATAGGTGAGGGTAGGAACGTAGACCGAGTGGTAAATTGAGAGCTTTGCCTTCCGGCTCAGCTCCTTCTTCACCAAGACGGTCCGGTGCAGCGCCTGCTTTACTGCTGCAGCTGCACCGATCCGTCTGTCGATCTCCCGCTCCATCTTACCCTCACTCGTGAACAAGACCCCGAGATACTTGAACTCCTTCGCTTGAGGTAGGCACTCCGTCCCCACCTGGAGGGAGCAATCCACCGGTTTCCGGCAGAGAACCATGGCCTCAGATTTGGAGGTGCTAACTCTCATCCCCGCCGCTTCACACTCGGCTGCAAACCGCCCCAGTGAATGCTGGAGGTCACGATCCGAGGAGGCTAACAGGACCACATCATCTGCAAATAGCAGAGAGGCGATCCCGAGACCCCCGAGACTGACGTTCTCAGCCCCCAGGCTGCGCCTAGATATCCTGTCCATGAAAATCACGAACAGGACTGGTGACAAAGGGCAGCCCTGGTGGAGGCCAACACCCACCGGGAACGTGTCTGACTTATTGCCGAGAATGCGGACACAGCTCCTACTGCAGTCGTACAGAGACCGGATCGCCCGCAGCACCCCCCACAAGACCCCCCGAGGGACCCAGTCGAAAGCCTTCTCCAAGTCCACAAAGCACATGTAGACTGGTTGGGCAAACTCCCAGAACCCCTCCAGTAGTCTTGCGAGGGTAAAGAGCTGGTCCACTGTTCCACGGCCGGGACAGAATCCGCAATGGAATCCGCAAAATACCCCGGTAATTCGAGCACACTCTCCGGTCCCCCTTTTTGAAGATGGGAACCACCACCCCGGTCTGCCATTCCATGGGCACTGATCCCGACCCCCATGCGACATTGAAGAGGCATGTCAGCCAGGACAGCCCAACCATGTCCAGCGCCTTCAGCATCTCAGGGTGGATCTCATCCACCCCCGCGCCTTGCCACCAAGGAGCTTTTTAACTACCTCAGCGACCTCTCCCAGGGATATGGGTGAGCCTCCCCCTAGGTCCTCAGGCGCTGCCTCCTCTGCAGAGGACATGTTGGTCGGGTTTAGGAGTTCCTCAAAGTGCTCTTTCCACCGCCCGACGATGTCCTCTGTCCGGGTTAGCAGTTCCCCCCCCTGCTGAGAACAGCCTGGGGTAAGCCCTGCTTTCCCTTCCTGAGCCGTCAGATGGTTTGCCAGAACCTCCTTGAGGCCAACCGAAAGTCCTTCTCCATGGCCTCCCCGAACTCCTCCCATGCCCGAGTTTTAGCATTCACGACCACCGCAGCTGCAGCCCTTCTGGCCTGCCGGTACCTGTCAGCTGCTTCAGGAGACCCCTGGGCCAACCAGGCCTTGAAGGTCTCCTTCTTCAGCTTGACAGCTTCCCTCACCTCCGGTGTCCACCACCGGGCTCTCGGGTTGCCGCCACGACAGGCACCGATGACTTTCCGGCCGCAGCTGCTAGCGGCCGCGTCCACAATAGAGGCTTTAAACATGGTCCACTCCGATTCCGTGTCCCCAACCTCCCTCGGGATGTGTGAGAAGTTCTTCCGGAGGTGGGAGTTAAAGACCTCCCGGACAGGGTCCTCCGCCAGACGTTCCCAGTTCACCCTCACTACACGTTTGGGTTTGCCGGGTCTTTCCAACTGGTTCCCCTGCCATCTGATCCAACTCACCACCAGGTGGTGATCAGTTGACAGCTCTGCTCCTCTCTTCACCCGAGTGTCCAAGACATACGGCCGCAAATCAAATGATACGATTACAAAGTCGATCATTGATCTCCGGCCTAAGGTGTTCTGGTACCAGGTACACTTATGAGCCACCTTATGTTCGAACATAGTGTTCGTTATGGCCAAACCGTGGCAAGCACAGAAGTCCAATAACGAAACACCATTCGGGTTCAGATCGGGCAAGCCGTTCCTCCCAATCACCCCCCGCCACGTTTCTCCGTCATCGCCCACGTGAGCGTTGAAGTCCCCCAGGAGAACTATGGAGTCGGTAGGCGGCGCCCTTTCCAGGACCCCTCCCACCTGGAAATCACCTGGAGAGTGTCCCACTCTGTCATGTGACATGTAATTTGATATTGCAGTATGGATAATCAATATATTGGGCTATTTTTTCATTTGGTTAAAGATTTGATTGTGTCAGAACAAACACACACACTTCCGTGTGTGTGTCATAGGTAGGTGTCTTGGCTGTATCGATCGTGACCCTAATCCTCGGACTTGGACTTGGTCTTGGACTGGACTTGCAGAAATGTCGAAACAAAGGTGCTGTCAGACACACACACACACACACACACACACACACACAAATGTCTCTGCACTCACAAACGTTCACAAGCATCATCCAAAGAATTCACATTTGGTTCTTGCTGCACCATGCACGCCTTGTAAACTGGTATGATGCATGTTTTTCTAAGTTCTCTTTGCATGGAATCACCACATGTCATCTGTTGTTGATTGAGGCCAGTTAATTGCTGTTACATCAGACGTTGTTGAGTGTTCTCTGTGTAGTCTGTGTGACTTCTCTGAGCTAAATCAAAGTAGTGGATATACAGTTCTCTGTAGAATGTTATGATGAAGCTTCACACCTGCATAACCTTAACTTCACTGAATGAACATCAGATTTTTAAATTTGTAAGTTAAATCTCAATGAACACGTTCTTACTCCCAACTCGTTAAATACAGTCATTTGGTGAGTGACCCGGAGCTTCACACTATGTTGCTCAAAGTTTCCCTCCAGCGTCAGTTGTAGACGAGTCAGAGACGCCGCATCATGGATCCCACTACGGACAAACCCTAACCCTAACCCGACTCCACCTCTGATTGGCTTCATCCAATTCAATCCAACTAACAAGGGCAACAAGTACTAACCACTCAGAGGCAAAGTAAAACTGGTCATACTTTTTCCATGGCTTGTTACATGGTGCGTCTTCAAAATAAACTTCCGTATTTACAGGAAACTTGCAGTCTGCTCGTTACTCAATAAATCATCCACGCGTGTCCTTTCGTCAGCTGTGTACAAAGCGCAGCGTCACGCAGTGGAAGAATGCTCAGCAGACCTTTTATAATCTCTCCGTTAGTTTTGATGACTCATACGATGAGCTTTACTTGGCGGAGACCCAGGAGCCGGTGAAACGGGTTCGTGTATACGTAGTACACACGAACCCTTGCTGTATGGGAACGTCATTTTTAGGAGACAGGATATAAGATGTACAAATATTTATGAATATTTAGCCCTTTGTGAATAAATTCAGACCATGCGTTTGCAGATATGGTGAAGGCTTTCTTAGAAGATGTTATCACATACATTTTAATTATATGCATGGCATATAAAAACAGAATACATAAAAAAAGGATTTAATAGATCTGGTGTGAGATCATTTGTTTTCCCCATCAGTCATAATGAATTAAACACAAACACAAGAGCAGACGTGTCTCCTCCAGACAGGTGAGCCAAACACAACACAAGTTACCTGTGATGGAAAATCCCACAACCAAGAAGAAACTCACAGATAGAAAGGGACATTCCTGTCTCCACTCCACGATTCGCTCATTTATTTCTGTTTCTTACATTATTATACGACTTTCATGCACATTTCATATAATATCAGAACTTTATTCTCAAAATATATCGACTTGACCAGTATGTTCAGTATTACACTTACAACAGACTGCTGTACGTACGTTAAATATAGAAACACAAAATAAATACTGTAATCTAAACAAATTATTTGATTTCCCCAAAATTCTGTATCCATCCCAACAAAGACAAAGTCGGATGTGTGTGTTTCACATACAGAACAAACAGTAGAAGAATGTACATCACAGACAATGTTCTCCCTATTTAATACTGTAAATACTGTGTATGAATATACAGTAATATCCCCAACCTCATGGACACAAACATACCTAACATTTACAGTACTACGGTCCACCTGCAATACTGTATTACTGTGTTGATATGCAGTACTAAACTAGAGTACATACCTTACTGTGAACCTGCTCAAGTTTGATTGTAATTCTCCTGAATCTCATCACATATTATGACCCTCCTCCTCCTCCTCCTCCTCCTCCTCCTCTTCCTCCTGCCTCTCTCTCCTATGTTGACATGCATTTGTTCCAAAACAGAGGCGCTCTGATTGCAAATTGAACAGTTGTGCAACATGTGTTTGCCCATTTGAGGAGTCAGAGTGGATAGATGCAAATTTGGCATTTTAAATGGCAGGACTTTGTATGTGAACACAGTAGATTGTATTCATGGAGACTGTGCCACATGTTAGAGAACTGTGTGAAAGTGTTGTAAGTGTGGTTCAAGACTGCAATCTGAGTGTAAAGCAGGACCTTTGTGTTCAGAGTTACAGGTTGTTGTTATTGTGTCTCAAGTGTTAGTGTTGAGACACACTGTAAGACTTGACACAGAACCTTTTAGTACGTGTTATTCCTCAATCAGCTGCTGCATTGAACCCTATATTTAAGGATGCGAGTATTGCAAGGCTATATTGTCAAGTCATGATTATGACAACAATTGAAAACAGCTTTCTACACTCTGAAAACTCCTCTGAGCAAATTACACCAAGGTTTCGAGTACTTTTGTTAAGTTGGCGTCTGCAGCCATCACTCACACATGGATGAGCAGCCAGAAACAGATCAAATCTAAAACAAGGTGTCCTGTCTTCCTGTCCCAGTCGTCCCCCACACGTCCTGCAGGAATCGATGCTACGAGCCCTATGACGGCGAGATCCCCGGCTGCAGATGTGACAAGAACTGCAACGCCAGCAGCTGCTGTTACGACTACCACGACATCTGCACCGTCCCCAGTGAGACGTCATCTTTGACCTTAAAACTTTCATTTCTCTCACAATGAACACCATAAAAACAGATTCCACATGCGTCTTTTCACTCTGCGTGTGATGGAGAGCAGCGTAGTGCACTGACTCCATGGTTGCTTCCCTTCAGCCCAGCAGTGGGAGTGCACGAAGCTGCGCTGTGGAGAGAAGAGGCTGACGCAGAGCAGATGCCACTGCTCCGACGACTGCCTGTCTGCAGGAGACTGCTGCACAAACTACAAACATGTCTGCCACGGTGAGAGTAGGAACAAAGAGAACGAGTACGCCAGATAAAGATATGCAACGCTGTCTCAAAATCAGTTCCAACACAACTAAACTGCACCTTCAATTACATTTCGAGGGAAACATATTTTCCCCTTAGATTGCGATCGCAGTTTTTTTCAAAAATGTCCGTTAAAAGAGACTTTTATGGGCATTTCGTTCTATTCAAACACTGATTCAGGACTTTAAGACTTTGTTTGTTCACAGTTCCTTTCAGCATCTAAGAGCCTCTTGCGATGATCAACCACAGTTCATAGTTTCATTGGTGCATTTACAGCCTGATTTATGTCTCTGATTCAATGCTCTTTAAAAAGTTGAACACAGGAGATGTGATGCTGGCAGAGCCACACATCCTCTGATGTTTAGTGTTTAGTTCATGCTGGAGATAAAGATATGGTCCACATCCAGTTTGAGCCCTCCTTCCATAAGAAGTGAGCCACCAGGTGTTACTGTACCTTAATGTACTGTCACTACTATTAACGCAGTCTGTATCTCTGTAGGAGAGAGAGAGTGGGTGGAGGACGAGTGTGAGGATCTGTCGACCCCCACATGTCCAGCAGGGTAAGAAAATACTTAAAGCAAGACCTTAAAGGCAACAACATCGTTTTTCCTGCACTGGTCAATGTTGATATTTTGGGCTATTTTACTCCAAATTTGCACATTTAGCTGTTTTCTTTAAGTTATCAGCTGTTCATTAATCACAGAATAAAGTTGATATATCTGTCTCCCAGTCCAATGTGTCACAATAGCAATTACTTTCTGACAGAAATGTCTCCGGCTTCCATAAGCTTGACATTTACAGTAGTTACCTAAACATTTGTGCTACTGATTAACCCTTTAATGTGATGAATGTTTAACTGTGCTCTGTAAATCATCACTGTATAAGGACGTCTGTATCTCATCTTCTCTTCCCTGGTTGATCTTCCTCTTCCCCCTCTCAGCTTTAAGCAGCAGCCTCTGCTCCTCGTCTCTCTGGACGGACTGAGGGCTGAGTACCTGCAGACATGGAGCGCTCTCATCCCTGTTCTGGACAAACTCAGTTAGTGACAACCCCACTACTCTCTTAACCCCTTTTAACCTCTTCCATAGACCATGGACCATTGTTCATATAAGTTGTATACATCATCTGAAAGCTGGGAACCTTAAGATTAGCACCGTGCAGCGTCCTAATGGAGTTCTCCAGCTTTATGTCCTGACGGCAGAGAGAGACGTGGTTTATGGCTGCTGCAGAGAAGCCGGCACGAGGTTCCGCAAGTGGTCGCTGCGCTTGGTCGTGCATCTCTGAATTGATGTAACTTGGCACGTACAGTGAGGCAGTCACAAATGGTTGACTGATAAAAGCACTGTTTACATGTGCATGGATTTAACAAAGAAGTGCAGTTCATTCTTTGATGCTTTAGAAACAGGAGGTCTTAGAAATCTACGTTTGAGTAAATATTTTGCAGCCAAATCAAATTAACAGGATATTCAACCTTCTTTCTTCATATTGCATTTAATATTTGACTTATGTCTTTACAGGGCTTGTATAAAGGCAATAATGTAGTCCATTAATATAAGATATGAGTTTACAGATAATTACAATTCCTCCTCGGCATCTCTCAGGTTGGTTTATGGCTTTTTGCCGGTTACACTCGTCGTATTTTTGATTCTTCACATTTATTTCTTTGTACCCCCTTTTGGAAAATAATGCAGCGTATGAGTATAAACGCCTCCGTACACACTCAGAACTCGCGCGTGAGTATAAACAGAGCTTAAGACGTACGTAGCACGTAGCCCTCTAACACGCCTGATCACTGCCGGGGTTTTGTCAAGCAAAGGCGAAAGCAGAGAATTAGTTTTCCTTCACAAATCTCTTGTATTTGGGCGAGTTCTGAGCATTTCCACATTATATATTATTTTATTAGATTTGCTTCCTTTCAAGCAGCCTTTGGTTTCACTTCATTTCAGCACAGAATGGAAATGAACTCGGCCATGTTGTGAGTTGGGGCTTTCCAATGACTGTTGGCATTTTACTTATTTTTTGACAAGCACTTCAGTCACAAATCAGTTATCTGGTCTTGAAGATGTCTCACTTTTAGTGAAGTCTCGGAATCATGAACTAGTGAAGCAACAAAACCTATTCGAGACAAAACAAGTCCAGCTGAATTACAACTACTCAAAGTAATGTGAGTCAGCTGCAAGATAACAAGATAACGACTCGGCTTCTTCACAGCATTCTGTCAGCAATTGATTATATTTACAAATCATCGCCCATGAATCATCCAGCTCTCCTCACCAGTCATGTCCAGCAGAATGAATCGATCCAGCCCACATGTAGGGCAATGACGCACACGCCCTCGCTATGAGGTCTTCAGCGGATTACATATTCTCTGGCACAGTGCACACAGATCAACATGTCGCTCACTTAGCAGCACACTGTGTGTTTTGTCTTCTGTTCTTCACGTTACAGAGAAGTGTGGAACGTCGGCACCGTACATGCAGCCGGCATTCCCCAGCAAGACTTTCCCCAATCACTACACCATAGTTACGGTAAAGACACAAGAGACTCACGGCCAGAAACAGATATGCAGTCGATACGCTTGAATGTTGATTCCACACGTATGTGGTATCTCTTCTTCTTATACAACTAGAGTCTAGACTTTAGGTTACAGGTCTGATGGCTGCAGGCTAATAAAGCCCCATGAAAGGACATTTTTCCCATAAAGCAGGAATGCACAATAATCAGATATGCTGTTGTGGGTCTTTGCCAGGAACTCACTTCTAAACTGTTGAAACATAAACATATGAGGGGATGATAGCTTTAAATAACGTCGACTCCCATTGACCAACAGCTTGTTCTGATGCTCCTCAGTTTTACCGCAGGTAGTTCTTCATGTTAGTTTGCAGACACTTTCACTCATAACTCAGGATAATTAGGACTTCACCCCTGATCCCACATCACTGATGACTCATATCACAGCTGCAGATGAATTCCACAGAGAAACTGGTTCATATCCATATAACTGTCACACATACTGTACTTCTCTAGTCTCACCTCCTCTCACCTCAAATTCTCTCATTTCCTCTTCTCTTGTCCACTCTCCTTTCGTTTGATCTCCTCTCCTCTCAGGGTCTCTATCCAGAGTCCAACGGTTTGATTGACAACAGTATGTTCGACCCGGTGTTTAACGCCTCCTTCAGTCTGTCCGGCCCAGAGAAGGACAACCCTGACTGGTACCTGGGACAGCCTGTGAGTCTTCTCAGGTTTGGTTTATTCACATAACATGAACGTCGGATGCAAACTGGATGAAGGATTCAGAGCGTTTCATTTCTACTCTAGCGTCTGTTTAGAGGACTGTTTGTTAATGTAAGGATATGTGTTGAGTAGATGAGTAGATACAGTACAGAACAACACATGCATATGGACTGAGTTACTGTTAATCTGAGGGAAAAGGACATTCAAATTGTAATTATATTTAACAGAGCAGCCAAGACAAATGGCCTCTTCTAGTTGAAGCTTTGAGCCAGAATAAGTGTGTTTTAAATGCTGCACTGTTTTGGTAGAGAGCAGATGATGCTTGGCCGGTGTTGATCCGTCCTCTTGGTCTCTGTAGATCTGGCACACAGCGAAGCACCAGGGGCTGAAGTCTGGGACCTTCTTCTGGCCAGGATCCGACGTCAAAATCAACGGAAGCTTTCCCGACATCTACAAACCATACGATGGGTATGACTGACATGTCTGTTTGTCAAAATGCTCGGGAGCCAGAATGTGAGCTGTGAAGTATCAGATCCTAAACCCAACAGTTATTAATAAAGGGTATTTTCATCTTTAAATTAGGATGCTATTTCCCATGTTTTTCTGTAAACTGGTCCAGTATTGAAGGAGAGCGCTGCAGCTGCAAACAGGCTGTAATGTAATCCCTCGGGTCAACTCCTCACCGTCAAGGTACGTCCGTTAAAAGGGTTTGTTTCTGCCACTGACAGGCTCAGATTGTTATTTTGTGGTTTGACGCAGTAACAAACAGACAAGACCAAGCGAAAGGTAAAGACAAACGTTGTATTTCTCTGTAGGGTCCTTTCCATCACGTTGTCAGACACTTACAGTAACAATCTGAGCCTGCCGGTGGCAGAAACAAGCACTTTTAACGGATGAACCTTGACGGTGAGGAGTTGCTCTGAGCAATTACATTACAGCCTGTTTAGCGGCTGCTGACTGCAGCGCTCTCCTTCAATACTGCGGTTAATGGACATTTATATTGCATTCATATCCTGGAGTTTATTTACTCCTTTACTTAAGTTCATTTCATCCACACGAAAGCAACGTTATCCACTTAACAACCACTTAGAGGAACCTGCAAATGATTTGTTTGGAATAAAAGCACTAAGGCTCTTCTATAGTGGTGTCAGACCCAGAGAAGAGGAGTCTATCATCACCACAAGAAGCTCACTGAAACCTTTTTCTTCTTTTCAAATATCTGTACATTCATGGCCCCCTAAACAAAACAAAACATATCTTGTTAAGATAAGGTTTACGGTTTAATGTTCGTCCGTGTCTCCAACCATGTCTCCTACAAAATAAAGTTCCCATACAGCTAAACTGAATCCTCAACTGGATTCAGAGGGAAACACATTTTCTCCCCGTTTACAGTCACAGTTTTAAACACGTGGTTCATGTTGTAAATTGTTGGAAGAAATAAGGGTTCCAAACGAAGTTCTCCCTGAAGGTTCTACCCAGATCAATTTGCTTCCAAAGAACCCTTTATGGACTATAGAGTTCTTCAAGGACTGTTGAAAGTCTGGGCATTAGAACATCCTCCCAGCCCAAACCCTCAAATACTGTGATTGAGGACCAGGATTGTTGTGGGTTTTGCTGCACCACAACGGCAGATCTTCTTCCAGCAGTATTGTAACTGAAATGGGCTGCAGACGTGAAAGTCGTTCAGCCTCTTTTTGTTGGGGTCTTGGGTCTCTTTGTGGTCGGTTTATGTTTCTTTATGGTTATTTTGTGCTTCTTCCTCGTGTCTCTTTGAGGGACATTTTGTTCTCCAACAAAATGGCCCCCGGGCCTGTGCCTGGTAGACCCGTTTAGTAATCCATCCATGTGTCTGTCAGTTAGAACTATCTGCTGTTGTAGTCTGTAGAGTAGTGCATGGATGAGAAAATGTAATTTGACCAAAAATGTTGTGAAATGGTATCCAGGAGTCAAATTTAGTCACAACTGTGGCCTTTCAGTATAGTTCAGTCTGTTCTGTGTCAACTTCAACAAACCAAATACAAAACGAAGGGATCTTCTGATGTCACTGTTTCTGCTACAATGCCGTTTAAAGAATCTCTCTCTCTCTCTCTCTCTCTCTCTCTCTCTCTCTCTCTCTCGCTGGTTATTTTTAGTAAAGTGCCATTTGAAGAAAGAGTGCTGACTGTGCTGAAGTGGCTACAGCTGCCAGATGATGAAAGGTTAGTTGTTGGCATCTGGTCACTTGCATTCAGCAGATGCCATGAATGTTTTTCTGGTGGCGTTGGTGCTAAAATGTGACAAATAAAAAGTGACTTTTTCCTCCAGACCAGATTTCTACACATTGTACGTAGAGGAACCTGATAAATCTGGACACAGCTACGGTCCTGTGAGTGGAGGGGTAAGTCCACCCGATCCACAGAGTCAGATAATGTCACGAGCGCTAAGAAAAGATCTGTGATTTGAACTTTTCTCCTTTTCTTTTTATTCTCTCTGCTATCTTTTAAAGCATCGATGAAAAGAAAACCGAGCTCAGATGTATCTATTCTGTAAATCATCACGTCTTAGTGTGGACCTCATCTGACACCCACACTTAATATCAATCAAACTGTGCTGGAACGAATCCCATCTCCATAAAATATTTATGATATTGCTAATGAAACAATCCCATCAGCAGCGTCAGAATCTTTATGAACCTTAATGAATGACCCGACAGTCATATAACTTGATAACATCTTCCAACCTGACGCATCACTTTGCATGTTGTTGTCTGTATAATGACACCTGGTCAGGGCCCTCGCATTTACTCTTGGTATTAATAAGGCTTCCTGTTGTCTTAATTCTGCCCCCACTGTGATTGGATTGTAATATGCAACTTCCTTAGACGGAGCTGGCAGATTTGTCACTTTCCTTGACCTGGCGTGTCTCAGGCTGCTGGGTTTCATTCCGGTCTCGTATTACGCTGGCAACAACGTAACAACGAACGTAGCGTGACAACTTAACAACCATGACGTAACAACAGTAACTTAAAATAACAAGCGTGAACTCAACGTTGACTTTTGGCTGCACAAAGGATTGTCACCACCAAATTTATCTGCAATTACAAACTATAGCAAACAACTGAACTCATCCTGAATAACCTGCATCTCTTTGCAGACACATCCAGCTGTTGAAACATCTGCGTACTGTTTTCCTGTAGCGTGCTGACAAACTTTTAGTTTACTGCTGTTTCAGAAGTAAGCATACGGAGAATGAAACACTTAGAGACGAAGCTTTTAGCGAGGTCAGCTCTGCACAATGTTTGACATGTTCCATAACAATGACCCAGCAGTTTACTGAGGAACCAAACAGGCTGTAATGCTTGTGTAAAAGAAGCACTGTGAAAAGGCTACATTTGCTCTCTTTCTTGTCCACTGGAGGACTGTTTGCTTTTAGATCATGTTTCCAGCTTGTATCATGCTCCAACCTCCCCGTACCTACGCATGAAGCATCTTTAAGCCCTTATGTTACGTTATAAACGTAGTTATTTTAAACCATGATGATTTTTCGTGTTGGTTTACAGAAGGTCTGTGTGTGCCGCCTCAGTGATCCACTACTACTCTACAGTGAATAAAATGTCTGCTCATGATCATTGCAGGATGTAATCTAAAAGATTAGAATAATGACATTCACATCATCGTCTTCACATCATCTCCGTGGAGAGAACAGAGGAGATATTTAGCCGGCTGCTGGATGTGTGTGTTTGTTTCAGCTGATTGAAGCAATCCAGGGTGTGGATAAGATCATTGGTCAACTCATGAACGGCCTCAAGCAGATTGGCCTCCACCGCTGTCTCAACATCATCATTGTAGCAGATCATGGTAACACTCACGCAATATAGAATAAAGTATAAAACAACTAAATGTTCCTTGTAATGTGTTATGTGATGACCCTGATGGAAACCACAATACGAAATGCGTTGGTCTCACTTACAAGTACATACAAGTCATACAAGTGTTGCTGGAGTTTTGAGGTCCTCAGAATAAAAAGATGAATACGTTGTGTGTAGTCACAGTATATACTGTATTGTGCAACAAGTCTTCCTTACTTTCAGGAAGCCATTCATCTCAGTTCTGAGCTGCTCTGAAAATAAACTTGCAGACACTTGAAACATGCGAGCAATAGACAGCCTTTATATCATCTTGTCAAAGATACCAAAGCTTTTCCAGCCTATTTTCATTCCCAGGCATCAAATATCAGCGCTTTGTCACGGCGCCAGGCTTTCAAGTAACTAACCGCGCCATCGTTAGACACTCAAAGCTACTGAACGTAGTATGAACACTGGAAAAAAACACACGATGAGACATGTGTGGATGAGAGAAGAATGTCTCTTCAAACTATTTTCATAGTGTAATGAAACCATCAGCTTCCTGGATAGAGGAGCACCTGTAGTGGGATGGACGTGGGAAATACCTGTGAAATGCAGTTGACGAGGAAAGCCATTAGTGTATTCTGTCGCCAACAGTGTTAAGAAGGATAATTTAAGAAGGATTGATATAACAGCTGATTGCTGTTGCAGGTATGGAGGACACGAGCTGCGACAGGAAGGAGGTGCTGCAGGAGCTGGTGGGGGACATCAGAAACTACTGGGTCACTGAGGGACCGTTCGGACGCATCAGAGTCAGAAACAACGCAGTGTGTGAGTAAAAAATACGCTTCAAGAGCCACACTGACCAAGTGGGAATCCAAGTGACACCTCAGACCCAAGAAACCCTCATCTACTAAAAAGGGCTTCTGAATGTGTTTCCTTACATTAATTGAGAATCATGTGTTTTCTCACAACAAGCAAAAGCATGAGAACGATTGTCGAGGCCTCCGAACACCTGGTGAAAAATAATGACTTGCACCGACTACGGTTTCCATTTTCCATTCATTCAGTGGCACAAAGGTCTGCAGGTGTGTTTGGCATCCGGCGAAACAAAAAGTGTCACAACCGAACCTGCATGTTCTTGAATAAATGTTCAGCCGTCACATAAGGACAAAGCATCTGGGCGCCACAGAGCCGTACCCGCCACAAATGAAACCACAGTGCGTCAATTTCGACAGCGTATTGTCGTCTAAAATCCAACACGGCTGTTGTGCACTTACGAGTGTATAAATATGTCTCGATATGCACAATAGCATCAGCATTTCATGTTATCACAACCACCAGCGAGCCAGAATATCCTAAACTAATACAGAAACTTTGAATGGGGCCCCTTCTCACTTCACGCCGCTGGTAGTTTGGCGTTGCGGCTGGTGTGTATGGTCTTTAGTTTGTAGTTCAAATAGCACCGGACGTAACACTGAGCTGTCTTACCAAGGAAAGCCCCACTCAGCTTGCCTTTCGGCTTTGTGAACCAGACATGTGTCCGCCTGTGATAATACCCTTATCTTTTGATTACCACAAACATGTTTAAAGTGTGTGTGTGTGTGTGTGTGTGTGTTGTTTTGTCTTGCTGCATGAACTGCTCCAACACAATCATTCTGTTTTATTCTGAAAGATCTTTTTCTTTAATTCTGACCTGAGGGAAGTTCTCTTCAATAAAAATATTTCCTCCAAATTTACATTAGTTAACAACAGCAGCTGAAGAGCTGATTCTAAATCATGCGTGTGTCAACAGGGTTGAGGTATCAGTTCAACTTTAAGTCACTGGTTTGGTGTAACAACACATTGGATTCATGTTGTTCGTTGGGCTTTGTGTGTTCTGTAATAACAGGAACATTGACTTTATTTTTGTTATCCTTCCTGCAGTGGACTCAGCCGAACTTGTTGCCAACATGACTGTAAGTGCTCAATGTTCTCACACTGATGACATCACTTCTATTGAAACAATGACCCGTGTGTCAGTAAAACCTGCTTTTATCAGGACACAATTGTTGTTTTTTTCTAAAAATCCTGCCAAACCACACGTACACATTTTTTTGCCAAATATAAGAAATGAACTATATAAATTGTATCTATTTTAAATAAAATGTTGTGTTTCTGGTGATTTCAGTGTAAGAAGCCAGACCAAAAGATCAAGCCGTACCTGAAGGCCAACCTGCCAAAGCGCCTCCACTTTGCCAACAGCCGTCGCATTGAAGATGTCAACGTCCTGGTCGAGCCAAAATGGCTGTTTGAGAGGTATCCCTGTCGGCCCCGTCAGTTGTTTCTTAATTGCAGCTGTAGCCTGGAGAAATGTCTCCTCATACAACAGTTTGTATGACATCTTACAAAAAGATGTGTTTTCCTGTGAATGTCTGGCAACAAAAGAGATCCCGTCGCCTGTGAATGCTCCTGCAGTGTTTCTTTCTGGTTAAGTTCAGGAAAACATTGTGGTTTGAGTTTAAATAAGTACAGAAATAACGTTACTTAAGTACGGAAGATACGAGACAAAGAAGTCTATGTTAGCGTTAAAATGACTACGGATGTGACGTTACTTAAGTCCAGAAGTTATAAGACAAATAAGTTAAAATGACTTCTGTTTTCACTCGGGACATGAACAACGGTCTCCGGGTGAAAGTCTTGAATTTGCAAACTCACTCATCCACCTCGACTTCCTCTCTGTGCAGACGTTGTTGCTCTTAATACTACGTCGCCTGTCATGGCTCACATTTTCATGATTAACATACTAACTGATTTTGTGGGATTCATAGTAATTATAGTGAATCACTTTTGTCGGTATAGCTACGGACAGTGTATGAGAACAGCCTGCCTGGAGTTTCACAATTTTACAATCAGAAATCAGCGGAAAGCACCAGCAACACACCAAACGTTGCTTCAGATTAAAACCAGTGACTCATGATAACCGACAGTAACAAAAGGCATTGTTCTGACGTTAAAATAAAAAGACGGTGTTATGGTGCGATAAATGCCTGGGAGGGAAACAAACAAATGCATTAAGACATGTCAAGTCCTACAGAAGACACTTAGGAGGGACATTAAGAGGACACTCATGTTGTTAAAGGTCATTGTTCTTTCTTTCCCTTAAAGGTTAATGATGCAGTTTCTGCAGTGGGTTTACAGAGCACGGATTGAAACCAGTGACTCAGCATGGCAGTTTCTGTCTCCACAGGTATCGAGGATCTCTCACATTCTGCTCTGGCGGAGCTCACGGCTATGACAACGATGCTGAGAGCATGCACGTGAGGATTCCTGTGCTATTCTGTTCTATCAGTCAGTAGCAATGTCTCCAAAACCCCTTCTGCTCCCTCTGTAATGTTGAGAAAATGTACCTCTAACTGCACCATTCTGTTATCCTTAATTTGTGATACTTTTTGAAATCTTTTTTCCAAACATGGGCTGCCATTGGAATCATTTTTTTCAAATGTCTTCCTCCCTCTTTTCCTGCAGGCTATGTTTGTCAGTTATGGACCTACGTTCCGGTCCAAAACAGAGATCGAACCATTTTCAAACATCGAGCTTTACAATCTCATGTGTGGTGAGTTTACGGGTCTTCCTTTGCCACTAACAGTTAGCGTCCACTTCAACTGTAGACTGTGACTTGTTGTGGTTTAGCTTTCATTCCAATCACAGCTGCTATGAGTAAAAACACAGGACAATTACAATCTAAACCAAAAGCACCGTTTACAACCATTCAGATGAACCTTCAGAGACTTGGAGCTTTCTCATGATAAATAACAAATCACAGCGAACATTTTGTCTCCATTTTTATTATGACACGTATAATATTCTCTTGTTGTAAGTTGCTCGTGAGCAGGAGAAGTTTGCAGAACATTTCAGAAAGAGTAATCTGATTGTGGTAGCTCCAAACCGTACCTGCTTTACTGTACAGTAGCACCAGAGCTAGCTAAAGTAAAGCAAACTAAATGTTAACTGTGATGCGTAATACTACACGGTCATCGTTCCATGCAGACGTGATGCAGATATCTCCCACCGTCAACAACGGGACCCACGGCAGTATGAACCACCTCCTGAGGCGGCCCTACTACACAGCAGCGCCCCCCGCAGAGCGCAGTGTTCCGGTTCAGTGTCCGCTCATCAGCCTCGACCCTGCAGACGACCTAGGATGCTCCTGTCCAGCCCTGGTGGGTATTGTTACGCTTACACACTGCAGCGCAGAGTGAACATCTAACTATAGAGAGAGGAATCTATGTGTGTGTGAAATATGGCCTAAACAGTGAGGACAAGGCTTGTGTCACTACAACTGTTAACAGTCAAAATCAGTGACCAACTCAACAATACTGAACTCTCAGCTCTTAACGCTTCTTACTGTCCCCAAAAATAATCTGTAATCAAACGAGGAGTTCAAACTTCAGCTGAACTTTACGTCATCTTGTTCTGCCATGTTGGAAAGTGTTTGGCACAGAATGAGCAATTCCTCATTAAGTGTGTCCATTATACATAACTGTCCATGCAAACAGTTGAGGGGTTTTACCTTTTCATCACTTAATACTGTGTTTCACACTTTCCTTCCTTTAACTTGAGTTTCAGCCAAACACAGTGTTTGCAAAACAGGTGTCAAAGTGTTTAAAAAACTAAAATGTGTGTTCTGGTAGTTCTGTTAGCTTTTAACTGCAGAGTAGCAGTCGGAGGCCGGAGATGCACTCAGCTGTGTTGTCAGTAGCGGCCCCTACTGACTGGGGGCCAGTTAAGAGTAGTGAGTGAGGATTCAGTCTGTGGGAGTATAAAAGAGGAAATAAAAGAGTGTTTTGAGAAAGTCTGAATCATCGCAACCACAAAATGTAGTGGAGCATGCAGCCATAACTGGCCAACTAAAATATTATTCAGTTTGCTGCAGCAGAATGTGAGATCGGCCGTGGACAGACACGGAGGTGCACACTCACTCACTCACGGACGCACACACACACACACACACACACACACGTACGGCTGAAATGTATCGAGTAAAGTACCAGAACCTCGGAACACGACACTAAAAGTACTTAACATACGTAGTAGTCGGTAACCTCCATAACAGCAGAATCACGTAAACAGAGGGGCAGAAAAGTGAACGTCTGCTCAAATTATGTAATATTTGGCAGCATTGTGAGGTTTTCTTTGGCCTGAATATTTAATGCCGTAGTCATATTAATAATTCAGGAATGCTTTCTAGACTCAGTAAGGACAAGTGTCATTGTTTTTAGCAGGAGAAGGTTCGTGCTATTCCAGACAACGACGTCAGATGTTATAACAAGAGTCTGGTTAGAGGCTCAGACTCGGACTCCATTCAGGTCAGCCTTCTTAAAACAACAAGAATAACAGACCTGGAGCCAGCTTCACAATGAAACAACTGATGTGATGCTGACAAAGATGTTGTCTTTTACTTTTTCTATTTCAGTTTAATTTTCTTTTACTTTATTTATTTACTTTACTCTTATTGCTATCATGTTCTATTTTGCAATGGTGTCAGTAATATGTGAACTGTGGGTGTAATTGATTCTCCCCATGACTCAGTATTGCACTTCAAAGGTCGAGGTATCCTGACTTTTAATCCATAGTATGCGTCAAACTCCAAAAATGCTCGCTCTTTCAATTCCCATTGCGAAACCGAATAGCGTCTTTTATGAAGTCCTCCTGTCTGATGAAATCCACATCTTTCAATCTCTTCATCCACTTGTGGAGTGAAGCCGAGACATCCCCGCATTACACCACCAGGGTCATTTCGAGGCGAAGTTCTTACGCAGCTGGTTTCACTGGATGTGGTTCCATGAGGAGTTGGGAGATTTGTTCACCCAGATAAATATTCTAGAACTGTTTGTCTGTCGGAAACTGAAAACTCATCTGTTCAGACTTCACCTTGGCCCATGAAATGATGAACGTGTTCAGCATCTCTTATCGTCTCTAAATGTTGCACTTGATGGGGTTCAAAGCATTTGCTGAAGCTGTACTTGCAGGATTCTTGCACTTTGGGGGTTTTATTGTCTTATTGTTGCTTTGGATAAAAACAAATAGTGGAAATAAACCAAGCATCACATCTGGAGAACAATTCAGAAACATGAATGGAAACAGGAAACAGACAATAATGAAGGCAGGATGAAGAAGAGCTCGGAAGAATGGAAAAGAAAGCAAGAAACACTTGGGAACAGAAGAACATTTATCTTTAAGGCAGAACTTTCAGCTCAGTGTCTGATATTCTTCATGAGGAATGGAAACTGGACAAAGTGAAAATAGCTCCAGAGTTAATGACAGCGAGGTCAACAACACGGGATCACTGTTCAAATCGGTTTTCTGCCGTTAAACGGGTGCATAAAAACCGATGTATCAGTTTGTTTTTTACATCTTCTACAAGCAAGCATATTATGCTATATTTGACCATATTTAGGTATGTTATTGGTGTACTATAAAACATTCATTTCCATTAATAGCATTTGTTTTCTTTGTCTCTCCTCAGAGTGGAAATGCTATCAACAGCCGTCTGAATCTGACAGCAGAGGAAGGTGAGGAGGTTCCCCAAATGCCTCTAAGATCTGTGAACTTGTGTTTTTATTTTCTACATGTTTGGATTCTTATGTCGTCAATCTTTTCATTTACAACACACAATATCCCGACTGAATGCACTTTGAGGAAACAGGATTACTTGTGTTTCTCCACATTACTGGATTGGATTCGCATTCGTCTCCCTGCTGACGTCCAGCATCGTCTAAATGCCACTGATTGGGCAACGTAAAGGAAAGTGCCATTATTGTTGTTCAGAGTCCGCTGCAGAGAAGAAGCACATGTTGTTTGGTCGTCCCCGGATGCTGCAGCCTGACCAGAGTTACTGCGTTCTCCACCAGGAAGGATTCATCATCGCCTACAGCCATGACGCTCTGATGCCTCTGTGGAGCTCCTTCACCATCGACAAGCCGGTAAGTGTGTCAATGGTGAAGGAAAAACGGTAAAAGTTATATGATTTTAATACTTGAAATATTCAAATGTTTAGATTACAATCCTATGAAATACAATGGTGATAGATCACGATGATGTGGCTTTGTACGAGGATGAATTGTGCACAATGTCAAGTTATCCGATTCCTGATCACTGATTCGTGACGATTTCATTTCACCCTGTTGCTGTAGCGCCACCTCTCGGTAAAACCACCACGTTTCTCCAGGTCCACTCGGATTTGACGTTAGCGTGTGATCTAAATCAGGCTGCAGCTGCACAATGCATTCAAGACTTCTTGCACTTTATGTAAAATAGGACATGTCTGTACAGAATTATGGAAAATTGTAGTGTGAGCATTGAAAATGTGTTTTGCAAAAAAGAATTTATTTAACAAAGGAATCCAGGAAATACTAATCATCTACCATTTCACTAGTTATTAAAAACAAAAAGTGTTTTGTTAATGGCCACACGGCGGCACTCAGTGCATGCACAGGTGCGATTAGTTCTTCCTTAGTTTACCCTCAAAGCAAACAGCAGCACCACATTCCTGAGAGAGCTGGCTGACTAAACATGGAATCATGAGAATCGGGAAAACTAGAGCAGCATTTCCCGCTGAAGTTGTGTAATGGCTCTTACCTAGTCTGCTGATTGTATCAGAAGCTCGACAAAACTTTCCTCAGTTGTCATGCTGTGTGTCATTAGTTCAAACTAAATAAGGAAGCGTAGCCGTCAGGGTCTCTAAGGCCAACATAATAAACAAAACCCCCATTCTAGCAGGAAAAGAAGAGATCAGCTGAACTACAAACAAAACACAATACTGAACTCCCTAACTAGTCAAAAACAGGAGAAAACTTTACAAAATAAAAGGCAGAGAACCCCTACAAAGCTTCCATTAAGTTTGAACCCCAGGTATGGCAGCACAAATGCTCTTGGCAGCGGCGGCAGCGGCGGCAGCGGCTGCTGCTGCAAACCCACAGCCCCACAGGCCCAGAGTGAACAAACGAGGGCCGGGAACACTGGATTCGGGGGTTGATATGCAGCTCCACTGACGAGATGAGGACTCTCAGGTGTGGGTGCTTCAGTGATCCTCAAGGGGCGTGGCAGACCTGCAAAGACAAACAGCGCTCTCTTCTAGAAAAGAGGCATCGTTAAGTCAGGGGGCGTAACAGCCTGCAAGCTCAGTGTTCTTGAACTAAACATTAATTATGCTTTCAGGGACTGAAAATAGAGGCATTTGTCTCAAAACTAAAATTGACTCAAAGATTCACTGGATCACTGGAGAGTTTCTTCTTGTTATGCAGTCAAAGGGCCAACTGTTGGTTTGTAATTGCGTCTGGAGCTGATTACTGTAATTCAACTAAAGCTTAGGTTTTTCCCCATTCTTGCAGAGGAACTTGGACCCGTTACCACCAGTGACACCGGACTGTTTGAGGGCTGACGTCAGACTCCGAGAGTCCCGGAGTCCCACATGTGACCAGTACAACACTGCTGGGAACCTGACGCACGCCTTCCTGTACTCGCCAAGTACTTCAACGTTATTGCTTTATTTCAAATCGTTATTTACATAGAGGTGCATACGCGCATGCATTTGACATGCATTTATTCTGGTCCAAGCATTTAGAAGCAAAGCGCTGCTGTAAAGCGTCCGTGGAGAACACAAAACAAAACACAAGCCAGAGGCAGTCAGGTCGCTGTGCATCATGGGCACAGTCACACACATCCAATGAAACAAGGATGTTATTGCACACTCACTTCCTGTCTCTTTATCACTCTTCACACACTTTTCGAAATCCTCACTTCCACAGAATATCAGCTCATTCACCACTTATCACTATTATTTGTGTAAGACGTCATATTGTTTGTAGCTTGTGCCGTTCAGCACAGTTTCATCAGAATAATGTGACTGCCCGTACTTTTCCAGGTGGAACTGTTCATGTCAAAAAGTCCCCGAATTTAAGCAAAACCTCATGTTGTTCCGTCATCTCTGCCACCCCAGACCCAAGCCAATAACCACACTGAAAACGTAACGTCACATGAACCGTACAGCCACACACCATAAACTATAAGCCAACACCACACATGAAGATTGTGATAGCAGTGTGTTTTTGAGGGGCTCTATAACTTTCCGCTGTTGTTCAGTTGAATTTTGCATATTCTTGCTGCTATTCTCCTGCTCTTCTTTTTTCATAACTAATGAAATTTAGATTTGAATGGAGCACGTAGCAGAGGTGAAATACTGCCCCTAGTTTCTTTGGAGCACGTGGTCAGTTATTACACAGTTATTACACCTTTTAAGTAAACGTTCACTTGGCCGAAAAGTGGAAGGCAGATCAAAACAAGCAAATTAGTGTGAAGCGGGATCATGCAGGGAGCCAGACACATAAAGCGAAGGCTAATAGAGTTAATGTGTTCACACCATCTGGCATGAATGTCAATGAGCGAAGCAGGGGGAGTCGCTGGATCTGAAAAGGCAGAAGAGTTTAGTATGTGATCGTGAAAACAGAAACAGAAAGGGAATGAGTGAAGTGTTGACACATCAAAGGAAAGCACCTCGTGGTATCTCTTGTCTAGAAATGAAAGGGTTGCTCTCCTCCACATCTCACAGAGTGGTGCACCACAGAGGGGGAACCTTGTCTCGCTCCCTCATTATCTCTCATCACACTCGTTGCTGTCACAGTGTTACTGGAAGTGAAATGCTGGTTTCTGCAGAACTGAGGCAGTTTTGGTATTTTGTCTTTTTTTAGTGTGAAACAGTGCGTCAGGTCACAATGATGAAAACAAACCTAGATTGGTCATTTTCATAGTCCTGGTAAAGGCACTTTCAGGAAAAACAGGATAATATGTTTACTCCAACAGAAAAGGAGAGGGATTGTTCACTTCCTGTGTCGGATACTTTCAATTCTCTGAATTTAATTGAAGTAAAGCAGATAAAGAGCACATGCATTGGACATACAAGCATACAAGTTTCTTGTTTTTGGATAGAACATGAATGATAAACTAGTTCTTAGTACCTTAAAAAACTCAAAATACAAGAAAAAACGTGACAAATTGTGAATGTGTCCCGTTGTCCTACATCACTCGCCTCATAAGAACGGATGCGTACAGACGAGTGTGTTTAGCATGAGGCCCATTATTAGTTGTGTTTTTGCAGATCTGAATGAGACGGTGGATCAGCAGTACGACGCTCTGCTAATGAGTAACGTGGTGCCAATGTACCCCGAGTTTAAGAGTGAGTTACCGGTTAACATCTCGGCAAAAATAACTACACTGCAAAACGTTTCTTTTTTTCCTTGAATTTATTCTTCTCTCCTCGTCTGTTTCAGAGATCTGGGACTATTTTCACAGCACACTACTAAAGAAATACGCCACTATTTACAACGGTGTTAGTGTGGTGACGGGCCCCGCCTTCGATTACAACTATGACGGACAGTACGACACTCCGGGGCAGATCCAGCAGTAAGTTATGAAGATCATAACATCATCACTTCCAGCCTTGATTTCTGACTTCATCAGTTTTTATTTGAACCAGACAGTGATTTTAAATGACAAACAGGAAATGGTTTATGTGATGGCCAACACCTTCTCAACACACTTGCTTTCCCGCTCACATGTCATTCCTCTGCATTAGAGGACAATCTGTCTGCCTGGTGGACTCCCGTCACAACTCTTGACCGGATATTAAAAAAAGGCTGCTGTGTTATGACAGCTTTTATTTCCTCTTCCACACAAACAGAGCGATGGAAAAAGGAGGCTAGAGAGGATTAATAACAGGATGACCAGCTTTGGCTGAATATGATGTAACCACGAAACATAAAACCACACAAAGAGAAATCATTAAAAGCTAAATTACATCTTGCAGGACAGAATGCAAACCCTCCTCCCCCGTTGTCGTGTTGTCTGGTGGGCTGCACCGGATCATTCAAAGCTCCCAAGATTCAGATTCTAAATCAACCTTTGAATGCTGCGCAGCTTCTTTTGTGCTATTCATTCTGTATTATTTCCAATAACTGCAGAGCGCTGCAAAGTCCAAAAGTCAAGTTTTTTTTAAAAACAGATTGTTTTTATTTTACAAAATATTCTGCTTCAATCCATATTTCTTGACATTTAGCCTTTCAAAAACAACATTTTCACTACTTTGTCATCAGTATTATGTATTTATATATTCTCTATAATATTGTGAAATTTTAATATTATCTCGGTGGAGGCCTCGAATAAGCCCAGTGGGTTTTCTGCCTCTTTCTGCCCCGAGACATTATTTTTCTCTATTATGTTTGTGTAATTTTAAATTGTGCAAACAAAATTTCCAAGTTATATTAACTGAATAAAGTAGGATTGCAGACATCCGAAGCTTCATTCAAAAAACCTCAACAGAAGCTTTGAATGTTAAAACATTCATTGCAGCTCTTATCGAAATGTCCCATAATTCATTTGTTGTGACATATGGAATTGTTTTTCTCCTTAAAGTAGATTTTGGTTGGTTGAGTGTTACAGCTGGCGTCCTGCGTCCTTCAGGGCAGCTTGGCCTGTAATCTGATAAACGGGATTTTCCAGGTGGAAATGTATCATTTAGTTTGTTGTTGCCCGTCAGCGTCTGTCATTTTGAAAATGATCACGTTGCTTCCTTAACAAATCTTAATGTTATAGCATACAGGGATGATTCAAACCATAATGTGCTTGCAATTATGCTTCAACCGTTGTTTGTGTTTGTCTCTTTCCTTATTCAACATGAAACTGTCTCTGTGTACAAAAAGAAAACGAATGAGTAGTTTTCCCAGTTTGCTGCCCTGAGCTCAAACCCACGCGACAGTGAGCCAGAACTTATTACCTCAACATCAGTGTTGTTTTTAAATCCCTTCAACAGCCTGAAACCAGAAGTGAGGAGGATCACCATGAGCAGCACCATGTACAGCTCCCACACACCGCTAGAAAGTCCAATTTCGTTGAATGGCTATGAATGAATAAGACCGCGTCTGTCTTTGTGTTACTCCAGGTTTGTGTCCGGCACGAACATCTCGATACCCACCCATTTCTTTGCGGTGTTGACCAGCTGCAGGAACTCGGCGCTACCGGTGGCGGCCTGCGTCGGCGAGCTGCAGACCGTGTCCTTCCTGCTGCCTCACAGACCCAACAACATGGAAAGCTGCGAAGTAAGAAACCACAAAGTCAGACATTACCTTTCTAAGATGACACTTCATTGACTCAGCTTTTCACAACCCTCCCCCTCCGGCCACGTCACACTGACCAGACAAATACACTGAAACTCTTTTTATGACTCTGAATGAAACTATCTTCCTATTGGCTCACTTTCATGCTGACCGCTCCTGAACAAAGCAGCAGTGCCTTCTGTTCCTGTTATGTTCCCTTTTACGGACACTCGAGGAGTAACAACAAAAAGGAACCTTTGTGTTAGTCTGCGGCTCATTCGTGGTTACTTGTTAAACAATGAAACACCCTTTAAAACAGACGGTGACGACATGTTTCTATGAACAATAGTCTGATGTCCTGCTAGTCTTTAAAACATGTTAAGATTTGTCTTGAAGGTAATTCAAATGAGGAGTGTTCATTCTCTTAGGAGCATGAATGTGCTTCGTAAATTGAATGGTCTATTTCATCCTCCACATGAAAACCAATGAATGAAATGCAGTATCTTGGCTGAAAAAGTAACCAAAAGTCTCCAAAATGGAAAGGCTTCCTCCCCTGGAGACCATGAATGTGCTAAATAGATTCTATGGTAATCTGTCCATTAGATTTGTATTTATCAAGAGAAGAAGGGCATGTTTTGTTCAATGGTAGTCCTAGAAGAAAGGTCAGGGGATCAACAAAAATATTGAGATGAATCATCTGGAGACCACGAATAGACAATAGGCGTTTGAGCTTGAGGGATGACTTGTCATGGACCAAAGTGTTAATTAATTGGAAATACTGGCTTGACAGTGGTGCTAAAGGAAAGGTCAGAAAATCCCCAAACTCACATGGAATCATCCTCTGGGAACCATGAATGTCTGTTCATGATGACCAGAAACATTTGTAGAAAGACAACAAAATCCAGAACTTGTGGAGATGTTTTATTGGACAAAACTGTCGGTGAGGAGACATTGAATTGTTACGCTATTTTTCGCGCTCAGAAGATAGAAGTTAATGATTTTAGTGCAGGGTTACCCAAAGCCTCACTGTTGGATAAACGAGTGAAAGTAGAAGCAACATGTCAACGCTCTCTGAGACGGTTCATTTTTGAGAACAGGAAGTAACAGAAAGAAGAAACGTAGCCCTAACATCAACTTGTTCAAACAGTCACATTTAAAATATTGTTTTGTCACTTTTCATTTTGCATTGGCAGAGTACACAAGCCGAATCTCTTTGGGTTGAAGATCTCATGTGGTTCCACCAGTCACGAGTCAGAGACGTCGAGTGGATTACAGGATTGGACTTTTACCAGGGCAGCAATCGACCAATCACAGACCTGCTGAGGATGAAGACCCGCCCCACAGCTGCCATTCACAGAAAACAGTGAACTTGCTCTTTTCCACAAAAAACAAATCACCCGAGTTTAATATTAAGTATCTGTAAAAGTATTGTAGTTTTGAGTGAGTCGTCTTAAATTGTGTTGTCACTTTGTAAACACTGGACTGAATGTATTAATTATTCAACAAAGTGACATTGTTTATTTATTTACTTTTCACCTTAAAACTGTTTGTATTCATTTCTTCTTATTACTTTCCTATTGTCGTGATTTTTATCCTGTTGATTTTGTTTTGTAATCTGTATTTAAGCGTTTATTTCACGCAATGCAGATGAGATGAGTTAGAACGTGTATTACAGCAGTGGATGTAAATATAAACTCATAACCATCAACGATCACAGTTTTTAGATCAATAAACAATTATAGACACGAGGCCGCTGCAGACTGTTGGCCTTCACACACAAAGATCATGGTTTGTGTTAAAATTGTAACTTAACATAATGTAACAACGTAACATAACAATGTAACAATGTAACATAACAATGTAACAACGTAACATAACAATGTAACAACGTAACATAACAATGTAACAACGTAACATAACAATGTAACAACGTAACATAACAATGTAACAACGCAATGTAGCAAAACAATGTAATTAGCATAGATTAAAAAAAACTACCCTTATGTAAAGATGCGTTACAAGCCGAACAACGCTACGTAACAAGCATCAAGTCTAGATGTACAACAACTGTCTCCTGGGTGAGAGTCTTGTGTTTGTTGGAACAGTCCAACATGCCCCCCCCCACTACCCGTCCTAAGTGGACTTTCTCGCTGTTTGTTCTCCTTGTTGTACCACCTAACTTTCCAGAAAGGCCGCAGAGTACACTACGTCACTTGCTCTGACCAAATGCAAAATGATCCATATTCAACGTATCAGTGGTTTGCAGAAACGTACAATGTCACTTTTTTTTCTGGCCACTGGGCTGTTTCACAGGTTTCAATACAACATCTCACCCCTACTTTCCAATGGCTTACCTACACTAACTAACATTCAAGGGATGTTTTATTTGGTCAACCCAAATCCCAGATCAATTAATCCAACTGAATTCAGGATCATACGTGAAACATATTTCTTTGTTTTTAACAATTTCATATAAATGTATTTGATTGTTTGTACAAAGAGAAATGTAGTCAACTACCCAAGATAAATGAATAACAAGATCTTCCATTTGTTTGTTTTATGTACACGAGCAAACATGTTTTTAATGTCACATCTCGTCCTGTGCATAGAAAGTCTCCTTTTTAAATGTGTCTCTGTAGCAGAACACTGAGCATAACTTTAAAGGGAACCAGGCACACGCAGGCATTTCCATACATTTTATATTGCCAAGTTGCCACAAAGATTGAGCTTTCAGGAACAGAGCAGCAACCTGATAATACAATTCTAATTCTGTCAAGTGAACACATTTCTACTGTAGAATAACCTCTTGCAGTAGACCTGTTGATTCTTGATTTAAATGTTGTTGTCTATGAAAGTGGAGGAAGACAGACCAATCACATCTCTGAAGTCTGGCGTAATTGGAATCAGGTTGGAGAGATGAGCATGAGCTCCTTCTGGCAGCCTGGGCAGCTGTTTGCACTTCAGCTGATGGGCTGCATGTCACCTTGTATGCTTTGAATCGTTCAGTCTTCCAGTACAGAGACCTCACATTGAGGATGTGACAAACTCTTTAAATGTGAGAATCTCTGCAAGCACATATTAGAATGGTGAACATCTCACACTGTGAAGTTATGGAAAACAGATGAAAGTATGTAGAGTGAACATATCACATGTCATATGTCAAGAATATTGTTCTAATTATTCTGATGGCATACATTTTAGTTTGTGCAAAAATGATAAAATCCAAGTAAAATTTGTAGGCATAATCGTACCTTTAACTTACCAAATTTGCACATAATAGACATTTGTTATGTTCTTATGGAGCAACTTCCAGGGAGTCATTTGTTTCACCTAATTTCAGTAAAAGAAATGTTTTGCAGAGACTTAAAGCTTATTTAGATGAAAATTAAAAAAATAGTGTGGAGCACGAAAGCTCAGTGAAATTAGAAAGCTAGCTAACTAGCCAGCAGCTACATGAGTGAAACTTCTCAACTTCATCCAAACCGAAGACTCCATGTTCTTGTCACAGTGTAGGAAAGCACATTACTGTTGCCAGATGATCTGCCAATCACAGCTCAGAAGGACTTGATTAGTTAGAACTAATGAATAACATTAGCCTAACACAAAGCATGAACTCTACGAGACTGAATAGTAATGCATACTACTTAACGAAAACCCCAAACTAACCCAAAATCTCAAGTACTGCACTATTTTGGCTCCAGGCCAGGCGGCATGTCCACCAGGGGGCGACTCCTCTGGTTGTATAGAAGTCTATGAGAAAATGACTCTACTTCTCTCTTGATTTATTACCTCAGTAAACATTGTAAACATGAGTTTATGGTCTCAATCTCTAGTTTCAAGTCTTCAGACAGATCGCTACCACTGCGTTCTCCGCGTTTTTGTCTCACAACTTCAACCCTTTCACAGTGTGTTTACACTTCATGAAGGTCAATGGTAACATTATGGTCGCCTAAAGATGTCCCTACTGGTTGCCAAAAAACGAAATGGCGACATCCAAAAAGCCACAAACCTTTTTTTCTGGAATGAGGGGGCGGGACTGATGGATACAGACAGCACGTTTCTCTATCATCATCACGAGCCAGTGTCAACAAAGAATAGAAATGGCACAATCTACCTGTTTTATGGGCCTTTTTAAAGTGAAAAACAAAAGGACACGTTAGCCTACCTTCCTATAAATGGATGCCAGTGTCAGTTTGTGGAAGATAAGGAGCTCTCTGGGAAAAGATCCGAGATGAGGCATTGAAGGATAAAAGGGGGATTTTCTCCGTAATAGATAGGAGACAATATAATTTGATATGTTTTGACTCATTCGGTCTGAAATGTTTGGATGATCCATCGTATTTTACCTCCAGCAGTGCAACTCTTGTCATCAAAGATTGTATTACGGGACTTCCCATTAGTTGAGTAGATGCCATGTCTAGTTGTGATACTGGTTCTAACCAGTCAAACGTTGAGATTATACTGTAGTTCAGTTGTTGGTGAGAGGTTACAAAGCAAAACGTATTCTACATTATTTCTGAGAATGGATGCACGAAACAAATCATTTCCATGATATTTTCAGCATCTTTAAATGAGAAACTTGCTTAAATTCATTTAAATAACATTTGTTTGGGGTGCTCATCTTTTCTTTTGCATCACATGCCATAAAAAAAGCTGATAGACAACTAACAACACAAGCACCTCAGAAGCTGTGCTGCTCACAGAACAGCTGCAGGAAAAGTCAGTATCCATACTTGGTGTTTTCTGAGGTCTGTCGTCGTTTTGGGTTCCTGAGTGAGAATAGAGGCTGGATTTAAGAGAGTATACTGTACACACAGCACGTCCATGCAGAGGATGCAGATGAGAGAAGGATGACGGTATTATACGTTTATTTACTCTCGCCTCTCGTAGATCAAGTATGACAAACATTGGTGCTCTCGTCACACAACAGTGTGACTCGTGTTGCTCTAACACACAACGGTCCTTTGGGGGGGTTGTTTGAATGAGACAGCAAGTAAAAGCAAAACCGGATGTCTGTTGGGATTTGGCTGGTTTTTCCCCTTTTCTTTATAAATCAAAGAGATAATCGGTAAGAACAGCCACAGGGTTTAAAACACAGACGGATCGGATATGAGCACGAGTTGATGTCATCCTCTCTTCTGTCTCCTTCACTTCAGCAAAAGAAGTAGAAACACAATGTGAAAGTACTCCATTACTCCATGAGCCTTTTGTGAAAGTTGAATTATGGAAGGCCAAAAGTGTCAAATATATATTCATTTCCACATTTAATTAATTTCAGTTTTTATTTATTTCTGCATTTGTTTATTTCATTTTTTTATTTGATAAGGAAATTTATTTGCATATTGGGAAAGACATGTAATGTTATAAATAAATACATTAATAATTTAAAATAATTAAATACATAATTAATAAATAATAAGTACAGGTTAAATTTATTTAAATACAAAAATCACATTCTATACTACCCATTTATTTATTCATTCATCCTTGTTTGGATAAAAGTACAATTATGTATTTACTTCCAATGTCCCTCTGGGGCCTCCTCGCCACTTCATCTTGAATTTGAAAGTGTGGCTCTGACATTTGCGTTGATGCCATAATGAATCCATCTGCTCATTTAGTCATCATCTGTTGCCAGGAAAGGGATGTTGTCCACCTCACGAGTCCTCTCATTAAGCGGTGTAATTTAGGCTTGACTCATCGCGCTTCGTCTCGACCTCGCACGCAAGCTGCTCACACATCTATAAAAGGCTCTCAGCCATGTTGACCACACGCCATCAGTGGGTACACAGTGAGGTCAGGTACAGAAGGACATCTCATATAAGTGGTAAATACTGCCCTCGCAGGAAAGCCTCTACATTTAAGGCTCTACGGTGTTTATTTGGAGATGTCAGCGACCGTTTACACAAATTAAGGTCATCTATAAATACCTTGTTGAACTTTTTCTATAAAAAATTGTTTCTATAGAGTTATTCTTAATGCTCGTCATCGGAGCCTCCGGGTCAGATTCTGGTGAAACCAGATGAACTCATGCAGGTTCACCAGAAACTCCTTCAGCTCAGACTCCAGCAGAGACCGGTCCACCGTGGACAGACCCAGATCCTCCAGTAGAGACCGGTCCACCGTGGACAGACCCAGATCCTCCAGTAGAGACCGGTCCACCGTGGACAGACCCAGGTCCGGCTTCACCTGCAGCCTTCAACCTGAAGTCGGAGCTCCGGAGGGAGGAGAGCTTTTGGCCAAATACCTGCAAGATGGCACCCTCTAATTCAACGTATCCCCTACGGCCTGTATGATATCTAACAAAAAGCCCTGCACCCACCCATCCACCCTGACCCTGTTCTTTTTGGAAAACCAGTATCCACTTGCTGATTTACATCTGGAAGCACCTGGGTACTGACTTTAATACTGGACCCTGCTGATTGCTGCATGTTTCACGTGCACACAACTGCCCTGTAACATGAGTATTAATGTGATATCTCATCAGAAAGCTACGGTTCTTGTAATTCGATTTCTGCAAACCATTTCAAGATACAATAACAGCAGGTACAGTTAACGTCTCTGTCAAACAAGCACTCCAAAAATAGCCGATAAAATATCACCGTGACTCACCGATTATGATTCATAACGTCCCCCTCGTGCATGCTAGTCCAGCAAAAACGGTCTTGCTAGGTGACTAAGGGTCCACTCGATCGAATCCAGTAAAAGATTTAGTCCAAAACACATTAGTACGTCCATAAAGACCCACGGGGGTCTGTTGCATCATTTCAAATTAGCCAGCAGATATGATAATTCGCGATCATATTTCGGGCATAACTTCACGTTCCGTGTCAACAGAGCGGAGATTTTCATCGCAAAATGGAGCCTACATTCCGCCGGTTAGATTGACACCTCATTTGACCCAATAGGAGCTTCTATAGCCCGCCCACAGTCTGGAACAGCCAACGAGAGTCCGCTTTGAAAGACAATGCCCGCCTCACTTCTTTGGGTATAGCTCGAGCCAATCGCAACAGATCCTGTTCAAACTCAGGCTGCACATAGCCAATGAAATTACGAAGCCAGGGATATGCAGATTTATCAGATTGAATGCTGGGAAAGTTTCTAACCTGAACTAGAAACCATGAGTCAAGTTCCTGGGACAGAGACTAAAGTCTGGTTCATGAGAATATTCAAGAATCTGTGAAAGTTGATAATGGTTAAATATGATATAGTTAACCACACATCGACATAAATAAGCTATAGTTTGAAATTCTAACGCGTAGTTTATCGTAGTATATGCATTTTGACGCGCCGCACTTTCAGTAAAACCATGTGTAAAATATTAATGTTCTGTTGTATTGTTATCAAATTTTAACCTACACTAGGCGTCCTGACTGCTGGCTGTGGAATGAGAGTCTCTTCAGGCCTGTCAGTCCCAGCCATAGATAGCTGCTGCCATCTGTTGGTCTAAACAAATGTAGGCGGAAGTAAAATGCTTCTCTTTCACTGTGCTGAAAACGCATTAGCTCAATGCTAGTAGCACTTACAGTGATTCTGACTGTTTGTGAAGAAACTTCAGAGTGTTGCCGTTCAATAGAGACTAAAACCATACATGTACTCCCAATGGTTCAATAACAGCTGTCAGTTTACTTTGGGTATGCGGTTGATAGGCGTTTTAGGCAAATTATGCAGGAATGAGAAATATTGTGGTTTGGGTTGAAATAAGTGGAAGTGGCGTTAGCTCAGTAAAGAAGTCACATGACAGAGAAATCAATGTTCAGCCTCGATGAAACGTTGCAAAACGTTTTCACCACTTTGTAGAATTGATTGACGCCCTGTTTATTATCGGGAAATTCATGCAGCGCTTCAATAACATTCACTTTACTGGCAATTTTTACGCTATTTGCTTTCCAACAAAAGTGACATTGCTGTTATTCACGGCATTAGTAACAATCGTCACTGTTACAAATTATCTCGTTTCGCAAATCCAAGGCCCGTGTTCTGGGAAAGGTCAGCGGGCGGTTGACTGGAGTCTTTGCAGAACCGTTGCAATTAATCGCGATTAAATATTTGAATCGTTGCCCAGCACTAGTTATTTTGTAATAAACTAAAGTTATTATGTGCACTTGTGAAAAAATGATGAAGGTAATGACATCTTGTGTACACAAGATGTCACCTCAGGTATCATAGACGTTTGTTTCTAGAGAGGAGCTGTGTAGTGCCACTAGGTTTCGCAGTTTAAACCCAGACACACACACTCCAGCATGAATGGAAAGATCCAAACTGACAAGTCCAGCGACATTTCATCAGTTTCATTTGCTTTGTCTTTAAATATGACACTACAACAAGAGACTATTTCAATATTTAAAAAATACACATTTGGATTCAAAATATGTATTAAAATACGACAATATCTAGTACTGATATAATTTAGAGAACTGTAAATCTTATTGTCTCCCTTTCATGGAAACCAGGCGTTATTAACCAACAAGGACGTATTCAACCAAGAATTAAGGTTTAAAATAATACTACTACTAATATTACTACTACTAATATTAATAACAATATTACATCATACTACATACTATTACATAATGTATAATAATACTGATCCTTTTTATTTATTTGTTTTTATTATTATTTCTCAATATTACAAAAGGAAAAGAGGAGATAACCAGAATGCTAAAGCCTCTTTTCTCTTTTCTCCTCCTCGGTATTTGGGACGGAGCTCCAGAGTTCATCCGAGAGGAGCTCCGCTCTTCTGAGAGATTTATCTCTCAGAAGGCTTCGAAAGAGATTCAAAGAGAGACATTTACATGCAGATACGGTCACATACATGTAAGATAGATATCATGTACAGGCTGTATGGACTACAGACAGTGTCTGAATACAGCAGGACTGATTATTGGTCTACTAATAGATGAACTATTTATTATAAAAATGGGCCAAACTGACACACGTGACTCGAACATTTTAACAGCACACAGTAGACTTCTGTTGGAGGTTGAATTTGGGGAACCCTGAAGGTGTAAACTCAAGTAATTAACTAAGTCCCTATTCATTACTTCTGGTAAGTGACTCTTTTCTAAACATCCCCATCATGAGGCAGCCAGGACATTCCCAAGTAATGTGACATGTGTTGGAAAGGTTTTGATCAATGGGTATGATTGGGGGTACGTCAGAGCTGCTGCCTGATAAATAGCGCGGAGAGGTGGAGAAGCACCATCCTCCTGGCAGACCGCTGCAGATACAACACTTACGATGGTAGGTGGAGGGAGGGAGGGAGGGAGGGAGGGAGGGCAGCTGGAGAGCGCAGACATGTCGAGACTTCTCACTGCAAACGCGTCTCTAGGCGACAGAGTTATTTTTACGCAACATGACCTGACGGAAGAGTTAAACATCCGGGCTTATTACATATGTTATAGTTATTTTTAAATTAATCTGATTCGGTTTTTAAACTGGTGGAAACTATCGAAAATAAATGTTTCTTTTTTCATTCATTTAGTAGAAGGATAGTTCGTTTTCACCAACCTGTTCCAGGGGTGACACCAGTTCTCGCGCGCCTGTCCTTGTTTTGCTTGTTGTTTTCCTGTATTTCTCCACGTTTCCTCCTTTAACTTGGCAGCATCTACTTCATATTCCTTGTGGCTCCTCACATAACATCGTATTCCCGTAGATTTCCCTCCATAATATCCTGTTTCCTCCTCACTTCCAGATGTGGGCATCGCTTGTCTTGCTGGTGCTGCTCTCGATGCGCGCTGCTCGGGTCGATGGCGTCGCCGGGCCGCTCCTCACCTTCAGAGTCACGGACCCGATCACCGGCAACTCCGTGGAGTGCGACCGCTGCGCCCCCGGGACCTACCTGCGCTCGAGCTGCACGGCGACGAGCAGGAGCGAGTGCGCGCCGTGCCCGTCGGGCTCGTTCACGGAGCTGTGGAACTACATTAGCAAGTGCCTGCGCTGCGGCGTGTGCGGCCACAACCAGGTGGTGAAGACGCCGTGCTCCGCGTACAGCGACTGCCGGTGCGAGTGTAAACAGGGATACTACACGAAGTACGACATATGCTTCCGACACAGCGAGTGTCCGTCCGGGCATGAGGTGCTGACCAGAGGTAACGGCTGCTGCTCCAGATGGTTGGGTGGGAGGGAGCGCTGGAGGTCTCCATCATTACTGGTTCAGAACATCTACAGGTTTTGATGTAGGGGAGACCGGGACTTAGAATCACAGTGTCAAGGGTCATATGGTCTCCTGATTATTCAGGTTATTTATAGGTGTTCTGTCCAAAAGCAACATAGGCTATCATTGTCTTTAAACATGTTTTCTTGATTCTTTTAATATTTGACTCAAAATTGAAATCCCTGATAATCTGGACAAACAGAAAAAAGAAGCTGCAACAACTCAGACATGTCAGAACAACGTTCATAACGTTAACTGATCGGCTCAAAACTTAATTCCACTACACTACCCACAATGCCACGCGGGACTCAATTCAGACTCAAAGTACAAACAAAGAATAAAAGAAAAACAAGAACAAATATTATATAATTAAAAAATATTAGCAGCATATAATGGCAACTCTCATTGTTGCTACTTTTTAAAAACTTTTTTAAAATCAGTTTCTTTTAATAAGACTTCAATTATGTTGTACATTATTGTCCTAATCTATCAGACTGTGAAAAATACACCAACATCTGGCTCTTTCCTTTAGATACAAACATAACTCACCGTATAATAATAATAATAATACATTTAGTATAGATTTGATTCACATCACATAGCTCCAACCATGGCGCTGTTTCCATGGTGACAGCAGTGTTATGTTGCTGTTTTTATTGACGCCTGTTCATTATTCAAGGGAGTGACACGGGTTTTGGGTGAGCCACAGAGGAACAAAGGGATGTAACCACAGACTTTAAAGCAGGATGGAACTGGATTTAGCAGGTTGAATACTGGATGAGTCAGCTTTCAGACTGAAGCGTACTGCCCCCTAGAGGCAAGCAGCTGTAACTATGTAGAACTACATTTACAGTGTTCACTAATTCTTTTATTACATTTGAAAAAAAGATCTGTGGGATGATGCACGTTCACAAACCCACTTATGCACCGCCAATGTTTCTAATGTTTGGTGCTTTGCGGGAGAGTAAAATGCAGCACGTTTCTGTTGTCCAATTTGATTAATATCTACAGTCCTAAAGTGCATTTCATCTGTTGGATGTGAAGATTCTGTGACCATCATAACTCTTATGGCTCTCATGTCTCCTCCAGGTACAGCCGATGATGACACCGTGTGCCAGAGTTGTCCCAACGACACCTACTCGGACACCGTCTCTGCCCACCAGAACTGCACGCTACACAAAAGCTGCGATGCTCCGGGGATGGAGCTGGTGCTGAAGGGCTCCGTCTGGCACGACAGCGTGTGCACGAGCTGCACTGAGGTCAAATCCAAAGGTGAGATCATCAGTTAGGAAGAGGGGGAGGAGCATGCCATGTTGTTGGCCACCACATCACTGGTTGTGATATATAATGTTTATCACATTTACTAAACCAGTCATCAGTTATCTTCACTTACCTTCCTATGAAAACAACCTGCTGCATCACTGGCTGCTATTTACAACATGAGTTTAAATTTGTAGACTGAAATGTGAGATGTGGTTTTCAAGTTCATTTGGATATTTTACAATACACAACATGATATAAGATAAGTCACGATACACAATATGAACCACGGTATGATCTCATACATGATAGGATATACGGTACGATATACTATATAAGATACAATGCGACACGACACAACACATATACAGTATACAATATAGGTTTTATGGTATACAATACACGGTACAGGATATATGATGCACGATACACAATATTCGATAGGATATACGATACACATACAATATGCTTTACTGTGCCCTTTGGGTCATTTCTCTTGGGCTCAGGCTTACTGCATTAGACTCGTATACACACAATCAAAGTTTGCTGTGAGTAAGATACATAAAACAATTAAAATACAAGTGCACAACATAAAAACAACATTGCACCTTAATAAAGTTAAAGAGAAGCATATTGCACATCTTCAAAGACCACAAACTCTTTAAACAAGGCGAAAACTCTTAGTGGCTGTGCTTCAAGCTAGTTTTAATTTAATTGACACTTGGGTGCTTTATATCGTCTACTGGAGGGTAAATGCTCTGACTCAGAGTTAAGAGCACACCTACAGAAAACATTTTAATGAGCTCATGTCAACTGAGTGGAAGGAGTTTACAATTATTGGCTGCAAAACAATCTGCAGGCATGCTGACTGTCAAGTCTTGGATGTCAGAAGGTCTTTGAACACAGCTTTAGAAGCCGTCTCTGTTTGTAACTGCGTTAGCACATGAAAGATAATGTCATTTGGACAAAATCTAAAAGGGAATAAATCATAACAGTGACGGAACAATTGAATTTAAAATCTTTGCAACTATCCACAACACTCCCATTAATCAGGACTAGTTACTATATTTATCATGATTCCTTATCAGCTTCTGATCAATCATCTCGTTTGTTCCTTGCAGACGGAGGCGACTACCTCAAAGAAATCCTCCCGGCTTTCTTTGTCCACCAGAAAATCAACATCAGACGACTGCGTCGGATTTTGCACAAGCTCCCGTCTGAGGACGGTAAAAAACAAGGAGCTTCAGGACTCGGCCTCTCTGATATTCATGTACGGATCAACAAGTGGGTCGCTTCTGCCACGGCAAGTCAGATTCGGCAGCTGCCATCGATAGTAACCAAAACCGGAGCGGTCAACACTGGTGAGAGACTACAGAACAAGCTGCAGAGAATCGACTCGACTCTGAAGGAGCTGTGTGATTTGAGGAACGAGGTGGATGTAAATGTAATGTCAGAGTAGGCTGAAGTAGAACATATTTAGTTACAGATAGCAAAGAGTCTGACTGGTCCAAACACACATTTGTAACGATTTCAAAAGTTGCTGCCTTCAAGATGCACTATCAATAAGGGCTTTAGACAATACCGGTTAATTAGAGAAATAGTTACTTTACTTCTATCTGCATCGAGCTGATTAACGTTCACTGCACTGGATTTCAGTTGTTTGTTGTTTTTCCTTCTTTAGCAACGAATCCAAACTTGATTGTGTCACTTATAGCTGGAATGACCTGCTGTCCTGAAATTGATTTTTACAAAGTAAATGTATGTTACAGAAAACTATTGCAAGGAAACATGTTTTTATTTCAAGTCAGCTGATGATAATATAATGTAATGTAATATAATGTAATATAATACAGATCTAATATATCGTGTTCACTCTCAAGCATGTGTAGTTCTTGTCCTCGGGAGTATCCTCATAGTACTGATTGAAGTATTACTGTGGTCGTATGTTCCCCTTTCGGTATCTAACTGTTTAAGGTACAACATTTTCTGTAAAGATACTCCTCCATGTTACAACTGAGTCCTTATAGCAACCAGCGTATACACCAGAAAACACAAATCAGCAGTTTGATTTCTGGGAGTGAAAGCAGATGGAGAACCTGAACAATTTTTACCAACCAAAAATCCTCACCGTTCTTACCCTTTGAATAATAAAAAGTGGGGGCCTTCATTATATCTACCTCTTCGCAGTTAAACAGTTTTTTTCATTTTATGTATCAGCTAAATAGAGAGGAATAGAGCAGAGGAGCTCTTGTGTTTGCTTTTCATGATTTATAGAGAATGCGTAGAACTGTATGCTAGTGAAGCTGAAGCATGTGTGGTGCCTGAATGACTCTTTAATAAAAGTAATTGTAAATAAATTCATCGGTAATTGCTTAATTTTTTAAATAATGTATTCATTTCATCATAAGAAACAGAGACCAATCAATTAAAGTCCATTAACTGTTAAGGCTGCTAAAGTCGTATTTTTAGGAGTTCCTATTCCAGAAGCAGTTCCTTTTGAATGGTAGAACACATTTAGAGAGGTTCATGTCTAAGACACGAGTGGATGATTTGTCATTTTGCTGCCACAAGTTTATTATCATTTCCACCGTTCTTTGAGACGGGCATGAGACTTGCACTTGTGCATTATAATAATAAAAATACCTGTATGCAATGAAAGAGGAACACTGTGATAGAGCAAAGCAGACAAGAAAAGCAAGCAATGGACATTTGGAAATAGTTCAATCCAAATTGGATATATTGGATCTTAATGCTTGACCATACAATACTACTGGGCATGCAAGCTGGGCAAGACATTAAGACACAGTCCCAGTGGTTTAAATCTACAGGACAGGTACTGCTTGTCACATGTGGCTACCTTGCATCTGAGAGGACAAACGTCACATATGGAGTTCCCCAAGGCTCAATCCTTGGGCCTCTTTTACTCAACATGTACATGCACCTATCACAATATACAGATGACACCCAATTCTCACTGCAAGTCCCATGAACCTGTAGCGTGAGCGGCTCCTGCCCCGTTTCTAGGCGGGGAAGTAGTTCGCACCTAACACGGTGGTTACTCCGTCGGCTGTCCCACCTGCTGAGGATATGCGTTCCTCCTTGAGGTCTCAGAACAATACCTTCGGCCTTTTATCTCACCCCGTAGTTAAATAGTTAGGATTTCGGAGTTAATTGTCTTCTTGAAAGTCTTTTACGGCTACTGCCCTAGGTGCTCTCAATGGGATGTAACCCTAACACCCTGTATGTAATAGTTATGTACATCGTCTATACTTTACTATTGCCTATTGTGAACATTCTCACCATTTAATGACTAACACTGCCAAGTCTTCACCCAGGGAACTTACCTTAAGCTCCTCTGCATGTTTCAGTCGTCACATCTTATCGCACCGTTAACGGACAGGGGAAGAGGGGTACATTGTTCTAAAGGACCAGAGTACTTTGTTTTGCTTCAGACACTTACTAAATGTAAGGCTGTGTTTTTATTTAAGTTTTTCACACAAGATTCACATACAACAATTTCAATTCAATGAAACAGTTACAGTGGCTACAAGAACTCATTCTAGCATTCCTCTTTGTCAGCCTTCGCTGATTTTGTAATGAGGTATTCTTCAGTCAGCTCTCTGACATTCCTACTTGTATGGGGGGGTCTATCTTTCCTTTTTATGCTATCCGCTGATAGCAAAAGGGTCTTCTGTCCTCTAAGTGGGTAAGACAGAAAAGGGGTCTTATTTTGGGTAACTAAAGGGGTCTTATTTTGGTTAACTAAAGGGGTCTTATTTTGGCCATCTCTGAGGGGGTAAGAAGTCTATCCCATTCTCTGGGTGGGGAGAAGCCCCAAACTCACTGTTTTTCTGCTGCTTTTTATGCTGATCTAAGGCTGGCACCTCCTTCATTTCATGTGTCACTCACACATGAGTCCTCTCTCTCGAGCTGACACAGAATGTAACTGGTGGTAACTGGTTTGATCCTGCTAGAACCAGAAGCACTGTAAGGCTCAAGTGACTATTTTAAACAAAGTGTCTAACTCTAAACAGTTTATATGTTAAATCACAGCTATCATAAAATAAAACAATTCACATTATGATGGTTATAAAAAGTGTAAACATGCTATATGTTGTGCTGGTTATACTTTGAAATCAAAAGGGTTACAGGTTATAATAGCTATACTTTCATGCTTTCATACTTTTCTACGATCTTTCTACAAACCGATCAGTGATGACTGAAATTCCTTCAGTTACACAGACATATTTGTATATTACCCTCCCTGACTCTCATCATTATATACATACATTTCTTTCTCCATTTAATTGCTTTTATATAGTTTTATGAATTTCATGTTTTTGCTGTACTCCCTGATTAATGCTTTAAATGCATTATGTAAAGCACTTTGAGTGCCTTTTTTATGACATGTGAGATACAAATAGGCTTGTCTTGCTTTTTCTTCACATCGAGATATGGATAATGGATATCTAATATGTGCTGAACCTTTTGGGATTTGTAGGATTTAATGGCATCTAGTGGTGAGGTTAAAATTGCAACCACTTAAATACCCCTACGCTGACCTTTAGGTAACGTAAACAACGCGGTTTGGTTTGTCCATTCTGGGCTACTGTAGAAATATGGAGGTTCAACATGGCGGACTCTGAAGAGAACGTGTTCCATATTTAGGGCTCATTCTAATGTAACAAAAGCACAACTGTTCTTAGTTTCATGTCATTATACACAAAGGAAAACATAGTTATGTCTATTTCATTCAGTTCCTGCCAATATCCCCCC